CCTTTCCCCATCCCAGTCCACAAGCAGGAGGGAGAGGAATTGAGCAGGGAGGGAAGAACACTCAGGAATCCTGCACACTTGACCCTTGAGACCTGCTCTGCAAACACAAGTCCACATGCATATTAGGACACAAAAAGAGCCTCAGTAAATTTAAAGAGATTGAAATTGTATCAAGCATCTTTTCAGATCATAATATATGACTCTAAATATGTTACATGCAGAAAGCTTAAAAAATGAAAAACACAAACACATGGAGGCTAAACAACATGCTTCTAAATAATCAAAAGATCAGTGAACAAATCAAAGAGGAACTCAAACAATACATGGAAAGAAATGAAAATAGAAACAGCACGATTCAAAATATGTGGGATGCAGCAAAAGCAGTTCTAAGAGAAAAGTACATAACAACACAGGCCTATGTCAAGAAATAAGATCAATCCCAAATAAACAATCTAAATTCACTAGAAAAAAGAACTTGAAGAAAAAACAAAGCCTAAAGTAAGTAGAAGGGGGCACATAATAAAGATTAGAGCAGAAACACATAGAGAATAAAACAGAAAAAGATCAATCAAACCAAGACCTGGTTCTTTGAGAAGATAAGCAAAGTTGACAAAGCCCTAGCCGGACTTATCAAAGAAAAGGGAGGATGCAAATTTGAAAAATCAGAAATGAAACAAGAAGTTACAACTTACACCACAGACATGGAATTATTAGAGAATTCTGTGAAAAATTATATGCCAATAAATTGGACAAACTAGAAGAAATGGAAACATTCCTAGAAACATACAGTCTTTCTAAGACTGACCTAGGAAGAAACGGAAAATCTGAACAGACCAATTACCAGCAACAAAATTGGATTTTTAATAATAAAAAAAAACTCCCAACAAACCAAAGTCAGATCAGATGGCTTCACAGGTGAATTCTATCAAACATTTAAAGAGCCAATAACCAACCTTCTTAAAGTAGTCCAAAAAATAGAAGAGGGAATACTTCCAAACTCATTGTATGAGGCCAGTATCACTCTAATACCAAAACAGAAAAAGACACTACAAAAGAAGAAACATATAGACCAATACCCTTGATTAACACTGATGCAAAAACCCTCAACAAATTATCAACAAACTTAATTAAAAAATAGAGTGAAAGGATCATCACAACTAAGTGGAAGTTATTTCAAGGATTCAAGGATGGTACAATATTTATAAATCAATGAGATACACATTTACAAAAGAATGATAAAAAGCATATGATCATCTCAATAGATGCTGAAAAAGCATTTGACAAAATTCAACATCCATTCATGATAAAAACTCAACAAAATGGGTATAGAGGGAACATACCTCGACAGATAAAGACCATATATGACAAACCCACAGCCAACACCATAGTCAGTAGTGAAAAGCTAAAACCTTTCCTCTAAGGTGAGGAACAAGACAAGGATGCCCACTTTCACCACTTTTATTCAGCATAGTACTAGTAAACTTAGCCATGGCAATAAGACAAGGAGATAAAAGGCATCCAAATGGGTAAAGAAGAAGTAAAACTGTCATTATTTGCACATGAAATGATGCTACATCAACATCCTAAAAACTCTACCAAAAAACTATTAGAACAACTGGATTCAGCAAAACTACTAGATATAAAACCATTATACAGAAATTTGTTTCACTACTAAATACTAACAGTGAACTAGCAAAATGAGAAATCAAGAAAACTACTCCATTTACAATTGCATTGAAAAGATTACAGTACCTAGGAATAAACCTAACCAAGGAAGTGAAAGACCTCTATTCTGAAAACTATAAGACACTGGTGAAAGAAAATGAAGAAACAAATGGAAATCTGTCCCATGTTCATGGATAGGAAGATTTAATATTGTCAAAATGACCATCCTGCCCAAAGCAATTTACAATGCAATCCCTATCAAAATATCAATGGTAATTTTCAATGAACTAGAAAAAGTAATCCTAAAATTTATATGGAATCACAAAAGACCTTGAATAGCCAAAGAAATCTTGAAAAAGAAAAACAAAGCTGGGAATATCATGCTGTCTGAGCACAAACTATATTACAAAGTTACAGTAATTAAAACAGTATGGTTCTGGAACAAGAACAGACATATTGGTCAATGGAATAGAACAGAGACCTAGAAATAAACCCACACATATATGGTCAATTAATATATGATAAAGGAACCATGAGTATACAATGGAGAAAACACAGTATCTTCAGTAACTGGTGTTGGGAAAACTCAACAGCTACATACAAGAGAATGAAACTGGATTACTGTCTAACTCCATACACTAAAGTAAACTTTAAGTGGATTAAAGTCCTGAAACCATAAATCTGTTAGGAGAAAACATAGACAAAAATCTTGAATGTAAGCATGAATAATTTTTTTCTGGACGTGTCTCCCCAGGCAAGGGAAACAAAAGCAAAAATAAACAAGTGGGACTGTATCAAACTACAAAGCTTCTGTACAGCAAAGGAAACCATCAATAAAACAAAGACACAATCTACAGTGGAGAATATATTCATAAATGATGTATCTGCTAAGAGGTTAACATAAAAAATATATAAACAACTCATATGACTCAAAATCAAAAAAACACACAAATAATCCAATTAAAAAATGGCCAGAGGCACTGAATAGACATTTTTCCAAAAGAGGCATACAGATGGCTGAGACACATGAGAATATGCTCAACATCACCAGACATCAGAGAGATGCAAATCAAAACAAGAATGAAATATCACTTCACATAGGTCAAGGTGGCTAATTTAAAATAAATAAATAAAAAAGTGTTGGAGAGGGTGTATAGCAAAGGAGACCCTTGTTTTATAGAATCACATGTTCCCTCCAGTGTTGGAGGGAATCTAAATTGGTGCAGCCACTATGCAAAGCAGTATATACAGAGGTTTCTCAAAAAAACAAAAAATAGAAATACCGTATGACCCAGCAATTCCACTTCTGGGAATTTACCTACATTATTACTAATTCATAAAGATATATGCCCATCTATGTTTATCACAGAATTATTTACAATAGCTAATATATGGAAGCCAGTATTGTACACTGATGGATAAAGATGTGATCATACATACAATGAACTATTACTCAGCCATATAAAGCTTGCCATTGTGACAACAGGGATGGACCTAAAGGGTATTATCTTAGTGAACTTAGGGAGGGTGATACCCCCAGCTTTGTTGTTCTTTCAGACAAAGAGAAATACCATGATTTTATTTACATGTGACTCTATAAAACAAAAGAAATGAAGAAGTAAACAAAAAGTACATACATACGTAAACACAGAGAACAGACTGCTGGTTGCCACAGGCTAGGGTGTGGGTGAAATAGGTAAAGGGGATAAAGAGGTACAAACTTCAAAATATAAGTCATGGGATGGAAGTACAGTATTGGGAATATAGTCAATATAACTTTTATATGGTGATAGATGGTAAGTACACTTATAGTAATATTTAACAGTGCATATAATTTTCAAATTACTATGTTGTACATCTGAAACCAACATAATACTGTATTTCAACTATATTTCATAAGGTTCTTAAAGTTGCTAGAAGTTTGATCCTTTAAGCTAGGCCTTTGTGATTTCCTTGTTTATGATTGGATCCCCAAATCTCAAGGTTCCCTTTGACCTAATATAATGCATTATTGCTGTTAAAGCCCTAGGAATTACCCAACTAAGTGATAAATTCATGAGTGGAGACTATTAAAGAAGAGTATTAAGAGGTCTGTGGTTGAAATATTAGGGCAAACCTGTATTTAGGATGCTGGTGGAATACAAGGTAGCAACAGGACAATGCTAATGACAAACTACTTTATAAATTAGAATCCAGAGGAGGAAACTTTTTAATTGAGGTTAGAGAAAGGTCAAAAATAGGAAATTAAGATGATTTTTGGCTGGAAGAAGCTTGATTTGACAAATAGGATATAATAAGCTTTGCTCATAAAGAATTTTCCGAGTGCAGATGGTACCCCATTTACAGTGGTATGACTTACCATTTTTCAACTTTATGCTGGTGTGACGTGATACGCATTCAGTAGAAACCATGGTTCAAATACTGAATTTTGCTCCCTCCTGGGTTAGTGACATGCAGTATGACACTGTCTTAGGATTCGGGGCTGCCCAGAGCCACAGCTCCCGATCAGTCCTGCAATCACCAGGATAAATACCCAATACTCTTACAACCATTCTGTTTTTTATTTTCAGTACAGTATTCAAGGAATTACATAAGATACTCAATACTGTATGATAAAACAAGCTTTGTGTTAGATGATTTTGCCCAACTGTAGGCTAATGCAAGAATTCTGAGAATATTCATGATAAGCTAAGCTAAGCTGTGATGTCCTCTAAGTTAGGTGTATTAAATGTACTTCCAACTTACAATATTTTCCAATTTGTTAGTTTATTGGGACATAACCCATTGTAAGTCAAGGGAGATATGTTTTAAGATTAGGTCAATTCAGTGAGATGACGGCAGGCCCAGACTAACAGAGAGACTGGTTTCCATATAGGAAAGAGATGAAAGTCCAGTTCAAAGGGAAATATTAGGAAAAATTTCCAGAATCAGTTGGATCATTTTGAACCTGCTACAAATTGTGCTATAATACCCTATGTGCTAAGCTGTATTCTATACACTAAGTAGATGTCATCATCTTCATTCTGTAGATGAGGATTGCAGGCCAGCACTTACTAACTAGCTTGGGCAAGTTATTTAACCAGTCCAAGACTGTTATAAGAGGAGGATCATGCTGTCTACCTCATCACTGTTCTGAAGATTGAATGGTCATAAATATCTACATACGTATGTACACACATAAACACACAACAGCACTTAGCAGGAATGTCATACATATTTCTGGCACTATACTATGGGAACAATATCAAGGTACCCCTAGGGGACGGTCATGGCGGCCCAAGTGAATTTGACTGCAGGCTTCCTTTGATGAACAGGTTTCTCCTTCTCTTTTGTAGGTCGTAGACGTAAGTAGAGAAGGCCAAGAAGAAGTGTTCTATGGGCCTGCGCTCCCTTTTGCTTCCAACGGGGTAGCGGCTTGCTTCCTGCCGGCCCCATATTTCACATGCCCTGACCTTCAGACTCTTCAAGTGCCTCATCACAGGATCGGCACCGTCTGAAAAGCCAAAGCTATTAATGACCATGATGAATGAACACGAGGGAAAAAAGGCCTGACTTGTGGATCCAGGCATGACAAGACTCAGTACTCAGTGGTTCCCTGTTTTGTTTGATGGGTCTTATATTCAGATAAACATGAGCAAAAAATGAACAGTTTTCTAAAATATATTATTGAAAACTCCTATCACCCTTCTCTTTGTGTGTCAACATACAATACCATCTGTATGACTTTTACTGTGGTGTAATTTAGTGCCGACTTAGTGGCCCATTATTGTCCCATGGGTCTTCGGAGCATTCTTTGTACACTTTTTGTAATCAGTGCTGTCTAGGACATGACACTGTGAGGGATGTCATTTACTTCACATGATCTGAAAAAAAAAAAGAAATCCTCAGTACTTAATCCCTTTACTCCTTCAACCTGGGCTTGTAATTTTTCTTTTAAAAATTTAACATCATGCAGCCCCACTCAATCAATACTCAGCATATGACATCCTGAAATTTAAATGCCATATACTCAAGGCAATATGAACAAGACATTATGGTGAACAGCAGCCAGAATACCCAGACTTCTCTTCATGGATACACTGCGACATTGGGCCAGAAGTTAACTTCTCAGTGCTACTTTCCCCACCTTTTAAGGAGGATAGTTAGTGATTTCATATTAATTCAGAAGTATTTTGGGAAGATTAGACAAATGCTCTGAAGTATTTAAAAAAATTGTACTGAGAAGTATAAGGTATTTTACTGTCTTTAGAACAGTATAACTGAAAAGGGAGATTACTTTTGAAGTTTACAAATTACCAAATAAAACTTGGAACACATGCGAGTGGATAAATGACCCTGAAAAGCATGGGAAAGAGATGCTAAGAAAAAGGGAATTTGCCAAAGCCAAAGATTCCTAAACTTGTACAAATTCTTGTTTCAAATAAGTTTCCCCAAAACCACACTTAAACTCATTTGGTGAAAATGACATTCTGAAGCTCAAAAAAAAAAAAATACTAATGTACTAATTTTGGTACTATAAAGAGCTTTGACATAAATTTGAACCTAGACTCAGTAGTTCTAATAAAAGTTTTTCCACTTTGTTAAAGGTTATGTCAATCTTGAGAGCTTGTGGGATTCTTTTCCACTGCCAATACTTAGTTTATTAATACCGCTTTCAATAATGCGTAAGAATTCTTAGGCTAGGTTTTTGGATTTGCTTCGTTTATAACAAGAAAAAGAAACACTCAATAGCCACATGTGAACATGCATTCAAACAAAAATAATGTTAGTTTTTCTTTTCCTAATCCTGTTAGGATCTAAGTCACCTTTATTAAGGCTTTTCTTCCTTGGCATAGTCATTTAGCAATCTTTGTCTTACAAGAAATTCATTTTATTCATGGAACCACTTTTAGTAACAGACGTGAATCTCTTAAATTTTTATCCTCAATACAGAATTCACTAACTTCATGCATTGTTGTAAGGGGTCTAAAACATTTAAGTCAAACATAACTTCTGGTTATTCAGATTAAAGGGCAGGAAAAGAGACTAGGGGGTAAGGAAAGAGGTTACATTTTAAAGAGCAGTGATAGACAAAGACAAAAAATCTTAAAAGAGAATCTGTCCAACCTCTGAAAAATAATGAAAATTGATAATGATATAATTGGTATTTAGAATAAGTCTCTTTAAAAGGTATAAACCATCTGAACTATAATTTTAAAATGCCTTACCAAGTCAGGAAAATGGACTCCAGCACTTCAGAAATCTATTCAACAAGGACCTAAGCAAGAAATATTTCAGATTTACTAAAATTTCTATTTGACACATGAATTTCCCCTCTAGAAGTTTTACCTTATAAACCATTAAAAATCCAGACCCTATATCCAGTGAATGAAAAGGAAAATGGTCTAAAGATAAGCTTGCCTGATAGCAGGAAGGCAGCCTGAGATGACTCTTGATTTTTTATGTGTGTAGATTTCTAATTATTCATTTAAAACAAATTGATAATGTATTATCAAACCCCTTTTCGGTGAACTTTTAAGTGTTATTCACCAAATACTTAAGAGTAAAGTTTTGTATAGCTTTTGGGAACATTGTTTATTGCCAAAGAACAGCATCCATAGTACAATATCCCTCCTCACATCACTTATAATTATATCCTTTTCCTCAAATTATATAATAATTTCTCCAATAATTATTGATTCCTCAAATCAATAATAATGCAAATCCTCAAAACTGGTCATATAAACCAAATTCCATTGAAACTATTCAAATACATATTTCCATTTAAGTGAACTATTCTACAATAATTCATCTTCCATTTCACTCTTCAAAATTAAAGGTTATATTGTGTTTGTATTTAAATTACTAGATTAATTCAAATTTCCATAGTAAGACTGTGAAACCTCCAATCATTTAAACATCGTTTCAAGATTTAACCCAAAAAAGAAAAAGTGGTACCACACAGATACCAACAGTGTTGGGGGAAAATCCAGCAAAGAAATGAATCTCTAAACTAATATGTATGTAAAATGCAATAAAGTATCTTTGATCCTTAATAACAAAATGCCAATTAGATTGTGATTATGGTATTTTTCACTATTTCTCTTCATATTTTCCTCACAGTTTAACCACATGTATATTGTATCCCCTTTAGCCACTCTAATAGCTGGAAACTTTCTACTGTTTTACTAGAGTACAAAAGCAATAGGAATAAGAAATTATTCCTCCAGGTAACATGGTTCATTTTTTTTGGTTTTCAAATAGTCATCTGTCACATAAAGGGAAGCTGCATAATCCCAGATGCAAGTTAAGTATATACATTTTTTATTATATATCATTATTATATTCACAAATAACTTATAAATATGTGTATAAAAATTCCCAGAATTTTTCTCAAAGCACAATTCGATAACTATTAGCACAATAATAACTTTAATAAGCAGAAATTAGTTCTAATACTTGGTATTGATTTTGGTAACCTTATCAATATAGTTTATCATAGAATCAAAATACAAGTTTCCTATCTTATTAAATACATGAAAGAATACGTTAGTTTGCTAGCTTCCCAAACTGTTTTAACCAAACAAAACATGTTTTTTATATTGGCATATCACACACTTGACTGACAAGGCAATATTTTTAACCCTAGGAAGAAAAAGCAGGAGATTCAGTTTTTAGGAAATGGACGACTTCTGTAAAAAGTCTCTCAATCAAAAAGCAGTGCTTTAATATAGATAATACAGCTTTTGGTGATGTTTCTATGGTATTTACCTTTTATCCCTGAAGCACAAGTGCTGTATTAACATGTAGGATTTAGGGAAGGCGGGTTTCCTAGAGGCCTTTCCCAGCTGCAGAGGCTTGTCAATTTTTTATGTAACACATCATTTTAACAAAGGAGAAATAAAAACTACCAGATTCTGTGAAAGTACATGAAAACGGGTCCATGTAACTCTTTCAGAACAAAATAGCTTTAAAAATTTGTGACACATGAAGATGATGATAATGGGTAATGAATACAGTCTAACAACCCACAAATGATCATTTTTTTACATAGATATCCAAGTAGAGTTAAATATGCTTAAGAAAATAAAACATGCTAGGAATAGGTAAGGATATACAATTTTTAAACTATGAAATTCTTCTAAGGCAAACAAACTCAATGCCTTGTGCAGAGACAAGCTCCATGTTTTTTTCTTTTTCCATGGAAATATAATTAAATGTTCAATTAAAATTCAAATCATAACCAAATCTGAATGTCCAATAAAGTCTTTTCACTATGCTGTGGTCCTTTAATCATCTCTTTCACACTCCATTTGATATTTTATAGAAATTATTTGGAATACTTATGTAGCCAACATGTATATTTAAATTGACTTCCTATCAAGGTTTCTGCAGAAAGGAGGGTATTATAAGCTGGCACACTGAACAAAGCCCAGAGTGTAGCATGAACATGGAATTGGACAGTCTGAGACAGTCTAGTCTCCTGCGGAGTCTGGCTGCGGAAAGTCTCCTGATTGAAGGGTTTGAATGTCAGCTTATTAACAACGGGAAATAAGTGAGGATCCTTAAGCAGAAAAGTAACAGAAGCAAAGTAATATTTTAGGAATACTGACATCAGAATTATCTGAAAGATAAATCGCAGGAAAGAAGACTAGATATAAGAAAATAAGAAATAGATTAGAATGCCTAACAGAAAAAAGTTTGCATGCATGGGATGGCAAAAAGAAAAAAAAATAGCAAAAGTCTGTACGGTGATCAACTAAAACTAGGGAAAAATGAAGCATCCCAGATGCTGCTGAAGTTTCAAAGGCTATGTGACTTGGGAAAACTGTGTATTCCCTACATAGAAAATGAAGTCAAGAGCTAACGTGGAATAGGTGATAAGGGCAGCTTGACACGCTGCCTTGAGATTTCAGGTGAAGCCAACGAGAGAGGTTTAGAGAAAAATTAGCATTAAAAATACATTTGAGAGAGAAAATTACGTGCCAGTGTTAGCAGTTCCCTACTAGAAGAAATGCTGAGATGGAAGAACGGGAAAGTGCTCTCGAAATAGTGTCTGTAGGAAGCCACAGTAATCACTGAGGAAGGGATGAGAAGATGAAGGAAACTGCAGAGAGGCCGCTGAGGACGGAGAACGTCATCTCAGGTTTCACCAAAAGAGGTTGGCTTACGTGACAATGGCAATAAAAAGCAGCCTCAGAGATTACAGGTTATTTAGGGGAAAATGTATACTAAGGAAGCAGGTATAGGTACTCTAAGTCTGGGAATGGAAAAAGGATGAAAGTAATAAGGAAAGGTCAGTGAAGATTTTCAAGAAAAGGAAACGAATCATAAATTTTTTTCTTCAATCAAGTGTCTTAAAAATTTTACTGATACCTAAAAAAAAAAAATATATATATATATATATATATACACACACACACACACATACATATACCTGTTTTGTTACAAACTTTTTCTGATTTTTAAGTACAAAGTTTAGTTATTAGCCTCTACAGATATATACCTTAATGCATGATTCAGCACCAGCTTTTCTTATCCTTTAGTTTCATACTCTAAGAAGCAAGATTTTCAAAGTTATCTTTATCAATCTCCGTTGGAAAATCAAAAGCATATATTTTCATAAATAACCTCTTTAAAGGCACCACCTTAAAAAGATAAAATTTCAATTGCTGAAATAAGCAAAGTAATACATTCTTAGTTTAATAATTCACTATCATAATGAAGAGAAACTCAGTGCTCTGAAGAATATTATGTGCCTTAAAGGGGCTTTTATTCATTAAATTTGTTGGAAGTAGTGACAGTTGACTTGGGGGAAGCGGCTCTGGGTTTGAAATTCAAGTGGATTCCCAACACTAGGATTCCAACTCTTTTTACCCAGTAATGCTCATCACAAAAAGAAGGCAAGGACAAGAGCCCAACTGGTAAAATCAATTTGGATGAGACAGCTAATGGGTTGAGACCGTGGCTGCCAACGGACACTTGCCTAGTTCCCTGCAAACATGGAAGATGCGAAGTTATAAGAGGCTCAACTGAAGATCAAGGAGATGAATCGACAGACCTCTAGACCTCTGGTTATTTGTAATCATAAGATTTTCCAGATATTACTATTTATTCCCTTTTCTTAAAGGCGATTGTTTAGCCCTCTTCTGGTATATCTTTTGATGACAACTACAAAAGAAAGGATGAGTAGAGAAAACATCTGGCCACTGTTGTTAACTTAAGCATAAACACTGCTGGCTTAAGTCTAAAACAATTTTACGTGTTATCTGTATGATCATTCAGCCACATCCAGTCCACTCCTCAGAGTCAAGTACGCTTGGTGACAGTTTTATTCATGAACCTGCCTCACACATAGTATAATAAAGGATAACAAATACATACAGTCCCATCTCCTGATCACCCACCCCCTTAAAAAAAGAAGCCAGCACAGTGTAATTTGACAAAGTACCATATTAAAACATAACTTGTAAGACAAAAACAAAAACAAAACAAATCACTAACAAGGCAGAACGTCACATTACAGTAAAAAGTCCATGGATCAACCAGTACAGAGCTGCTTAACAGGCGTACACAAATAATACTCCCAGTTAGGAAAAGTTTGATTTAGTTTAACTAAAATCTCTTTGAAATAGAATGAAGTTTGGTAAATTACAGAAAGGCTATGACATATGTAATTAACCTTTATTTCCTTATTTATATAATTTATATTTACAGGTATGTAAGGAAAAAAATCCTTGAAAGTATTTTTAACAGAATATTATACAATTAATTAAAAGGAGGAGCCAAAATGGCACAAAGCGGCTTTAGACAGTTGTAATTAATATAGATGAAGAATCACAAAATGTTAGGTTTTATCATTTTCCAGTCTCTGCATCTCATCTTGTCCCACTTGTCCAAGGTGAGATAAAAGTTTGCTATAGGCTTCCCTGTTCAAGAAAAAAGAAAAGGCAGACATTACATTTATTAAATTTTCCGCTTAAGTATTTACAAATTAAGATTCCCTGAATGTTTGTGTACACCCCCCCCACCCCCACACACAATGTGATTCAAGTCCTTTGATTCCTTAATAAACTTTGAGACATATGAGTGCTAAGCCCTCTGAAGCAATCTGTTTAGGAACTACGGGCCTATTTTCACAAGGGTTGTAACTCTTTTGAGAAAAATAATACCCTTATTATCTATTTTTGACCAAAAACTGTAGTATCTAACTTGGCCACTCACATCATTCACTGGATACACATGATATAGTTGACTCAGTCAGTCAAGCATGTCCCTCAAAGGGCTGATTTGCCACCATGGATTTTATACAAAGTAAGACACCTGATGTCCCCTTCCCGATGAGGAACACTGAATGTGCTTCTAGCAATGACAGCATTGCTGAAATACATTGCTTTCCAAGGTGATCACTTTGACAAGAATAATATGTGAATGGATGTGTCAACCATAGTACTGAAACATTTTTAAATTCAAAATAACACACAATGTTTTGGGGAATGGGAAAATAAACCATTTCTAAAAAACAAAATCTAGATTTTATAATCATTGCCCAAAAAAAATGCAGTCAAGTATCAAACAATCAAACATACCTTTGTGTAATATTTCTGCCAAGGCCCCATTTCTGCTCTGAATCCTTCAGAAATTGAGTGAGGGTAGGAATCAAGTGGATAACAACCTGCTGGTTCAATGCTGCTACTATTTCTAAAATGTTGTAAATCTGATAATTGTATCTCATACCATAGTCCTGGATAAAATGCCTGAAAGTAAATCAAGTTACTTATGATTACTTCAGGGGGAATTCCTTGGGCTGTATATGGCATGTGCCATTTACATCGCAATCAGCTGTATTCTGAACACAAGAAAGATTATTTCATGTAAGATTACCTTTAAGAATATAGATGCCATCCACAGACTATTTATAATAGTTAAAAATAAAGGACAGAAATGGCTTATTTCAGTGTGAGCCATGACCAGAGTGACAGCATTGGGAGGAAAAGGGGAAAGCTAGGTTCCTAGGATGGAGAGAAAGGGAACAAATCTAGTCCCAGGGGTGATTCTGCTATACTCTGCATACTGAAATCTGGGAGGTAAGGAAGTGGAAGAGAAAGACAGGAAAAAATGAGCTTGGTTTCTTAGGCATTTTTTAGTTCTTTATATCTCTGGATAAAGCAAACAATATTTTTGTGAGAAAAGCAAGTTATTTGTAACATTTTTATATTCCATAACTGAACAAGATCTTGGAGGCCTTTATAAATAAGAATTATATATTTTAACACTAGTATTTCCACTCTCCCCTCCAACAAAATAAAAGCCAAGTAGCTTGATATACTGTACGTAAGAAATATGCACTCTTTGTTCATATAAAATCCTTTCTTTCCTTTTAGGGTTTTATAGTTTTTCACAAATCCACTATTTATTTCAAGTAATCACAATTTAAATAAACTGCAAAAAAGCTGCCAATTAATTATGTAATGAGAAATAAAAAAACCTGAAGAATCAAAGATCCAACACGGAATCAATTATTAATCATGGTAGTGCTAGGTAGAGCTATGTATAATAAAGGTCAACTGGTAGAAACTGTGAGGAAGAAATACTTAAACACACTGCCCTCACAAAAGCACAAGACTCTAAAGGTGAGGCAGGAACAAACAGAAAATAGTCCTCAAGTTGCACTGTTATTCTCGTCAATGAACAACCACCACATCTACTCCTACCAAGTCTATGCTTCACAAGTGAAATACACCAGAGCTTTCTGGGTCTACAGTATCCAGACCAACAAGAAAGCCAGTGACATGTCCTTCCACACTGGATCCTGAGTAACATTAGCAGCTCTGAAGGCCTGTGCGCTGGACACTATGACCCACTCACATTTCTCACTTTTTCCTCTTAAATACATGCAAAAATTTTCCTTACTAAATTCTCAGGCCTTTTTAAATCAACTATCTTTCTTCTTGGCACTTTAATTTTTTTAATAAAACAACACAATGTAACAAAAGTATTGCCCAAAATACAATAACTGAAATACTATAAACAAGTAGTAACACATTATGTTTTAGATAATTAGTTATTTAAAAAACATGTTGACTGTCAAATGCAACAGTCTCCTTGCCAGTTGGCATGTTTTCCAGTTACCTAAACACAGAAGTCAGCTGGGGGGCAGGTTCCTGTTCGGACCCCACTTGGCAGGCTTTTACCATGTACTGCAGGTTCTCTGTGGCCAGCCTCTTAACTAGGAGGAAAAACGGTAACATTACACTGTGTCTGAATTGACCATCTGGGTCCTCATTTTTATGAACATGCTTGATTTAGAAAAACTTGCTGTTTTCTTAAAGTATTTATATGCTTTTTTAAAATCAAACTGAAATAGTTACAAATTTTTGCTTTGTTCTAAAGTCTATCTCTCGTTCTATCTCCTTATCTATCATTTTAAGAAAATGTAAAAAGCTTGAGTCTGTTTTTATATTTATATGTTTTTTTCTTAGAAAAGAGCTATGTTCAAAAATGCTATACTATCCTAGTCCTGCAAGTACTGCTATGCACTGAAAAGGCACGCTTTAATAATTCAGCTGATTTACAGGAAAGCAGATTGGTTATTTTTAATTCACCAGCATATTCTTTCCACTCACTAATAAATACATACAAAGCAAATTAGAAGCCACCAATTTACCTTCACTTAAATTTACTCATTTATCATACACACACACAACTATCTGTGATGCTATCTTCCTATCAAAATACAGCACTTAACAAAAAGAACATTTGTTTCTTTAAATATTTAACCAAATTCTTTAAAACTGTGCACTGATACATAAAAATGGGAATAAATATCAAGAATGTAGAAAATTCATGTTCCAGATGCTACTAAAGTTTTTTAATGTTGGTTTTGGTGCATTAAATTAAAGTAGCTGGGAAAAAAAGTGCTTTCACTAAGAATGATTTCAGAAACTGTAATCCATGATAGCAGGAGCACAAAACATATAATATACCTGAAGTTAAGTTTAATTCATAAATATACGGTAATTTTTTCTATAGCACGAAGATAGTGAATAAAGAAGTTACAGCATACTTGTCTTTATTGAGCAAGAAACTTCTCATTTAGATACAATTCTAGAGGCAGTATAACTGCTTCTTAAAAGACATTTTCTTAAAAAGCAACTCCCCAAAACTCTTCTAAGGAAAAGTATCAGAACATGAAGAAATAGCCTTCATAGAGTATTAATAAGCAGTTTTTTAATTAATAGCCTTACTGAGGTATAATTCACATAGCATAAAAAACCTAAGCTTTTCAAGTGTACAATTCATTGGTTTTTAGTATATTCACAGAGTTGGGAAGCCATAATCATTATTTCAGAACTACTTCATCACCTCCCCAAATATCCTCATACCCATTAGCTGTCACTCCATTTTCTTCCTCCCCTGGCCCCTACCAACTACTAATCTACTTTCTGCATGAATTTGACTCTTCTGGAAATTGAATATAAATGGAATCACTTGACATGTGGCTGTCTGTGACTGCCTTCTCTTTATTAAGCATGTTTTAAGGTTCATCTCTGCTGTAGAATACATCAGACCTCATTTCTTTTGATGACCAAGTAATATTCCACAGTGTGGACATATCCTGCATTTTTTGTCCATTCATTAGTCGATGGACATTTGGGTTATTTCCATTTTTTGCTATTATGAATAACAATGCTATTGATATTGTTATATAGGGTTTTTAAATACATATGTTTGCCACCTTTATTTCTTAACTGAACTGAGATTTAAAAAAATAATGGATAATCTATTTTTTCAGCTTTTTAAAAATAGCAACAGCTTTACCATCATATAATTCACCTTTGCAATTTACCCATTGAACATGTTACAATTCAGTGGTTTTTAGTATATTCATGAAGTTTTGCATGCATCACAATTTTAGAATATTTTCCTTACCTTGAAAAGAAACCCTGTACCTTTTAACTCTCAATCCCTGTCCTCTGACACTCCTAAGCAATTACTAATCTACTTTCCGTTTCTTTAGATTTAACTATTCTTGATATTTCACATAAACAGAATCATGTAACGTGGGCTTTTGTAACTGGCTTTTTCGCTGAGAATATTTTCAGGATTTATCCATGTGCGCATGGTATGCAGCAGCACTTCATTCCTTCTTATGGCCAAATACTCCAGTGTATGGATGTGTCCATTTCAAAAAAGCATTTGTCAGTTGATGTGCAGTCTACCTTTCGGCCATTGGGAATAATACGCTATAAACATTAAGTGCAAGTTTCTGTGTAGACATGTTTTCATTAATCTTGGACTACCATTCCCACATGTCCAACACCAGATGCCACAGTATATTTTTTCCCTACATACATGTATAACAATAACAATATTATACACAACAGTAATAGTAGTACAACTTCATTCAGGTACCTGGACCCAATTCCAATGTGTGTAAATATGTGGGAGGGGTCTTCCCACACATACTTACTCCAGGCAATTCTCAAACTCCCGCAGGGTGTTGGAGAACTCAACTCACTTCTGATGCCTGCCCGAAACCAGCACCAGATTCCCAGGTTAAGGCCTCCGTCCTACAAAACTACCCTCCACTCCCCACTCCAATTGTCAGTCGCAAGCCCCAGGCAGTTCCCTGTGCTTCTGACCTGCGGGCTATAGATTGGGGGTTCCCACGACCTCCCCCTTAGGTTCGATTAATTTGGTAGAGTGGCTCACAGAGCTCAGGAAAACACTTAACGTTTACCAGTTTAATAAGGGGTGTCATAAAGGATGTAAGTTAACAGCCAGATGAAGAGAGACACAGGGCAAGGTCCCAAATAAAGGAGCTTCTACAGCCGTAGAGCTTGGGGCCTGGCTCGGTGGCACGGGGAGGCGGTCTGGTGCCCCAAGCCTAGTTCTCCCTGAATGAGAAGCAGGACCCAACAGAGCACAGCAGGCAAAGCAGAGGGAGCGAGAGAGCAAAAGGCTTTTCCATGGGTTTTGTGAGGGCTTCATGCACAGTCATGACTGACTAAATTATAGGCGGTTGGCTGATTCAGCCTCCAGCCCCTGCCCTTGGGTGGGGGGCCAAAGTCTCTCATTAACACGACAAAACACCTGTTTCACCTTTAAGACTGCAGTGTTTTCAGGAACTGTGGATGAAAACCAAATATTCCTGGGAAGTATATATTTGGTCATATGAATGACCAAATATGTATTTCTTGTAACTCATTCTATCACATGGACATATACATAGGAACACCACTGCTAGGTTACATGGTAACCCTGTGTTTAACCACCTGAGGAACTACTAGACTGTTTTCCCAAGTGGCTCCACCATTTTACATTTCCCAGTAGAAGTAAATGAGGGTCTGATTTCTCCACGTTCTCACCGAACCTTGTGCGTATCTGACTTCTTCATTATAACCAGCCCAGTATGAAGTGGTGTCTCACTGTTGGTTTTGATTTGCATTTCCTTGATGACTAATCATGCTGAGCACTTTCTTCAGGTGCTTATTAGCCATTTGTTTGTATTCTTTGAAGAAATGTCTGTTCAAATCCTTTGCCTAAGTTTTTCATTGATTTTTTACTAATGAGTTTTAACAGTGCTGTATATATTTTACAGACGTTCCCTATAAGTTATTTGTAAATATTTTCTCCCATTGGGGAAAGTGGGTTGTCTTTTCACTTTTTTGAATGGCGTCCTTTGAAGCACAGAAGTTTTTAATTTTGATTAAGTCCAATTTTTTTCTCTTTTATGTCTCATGCTTTGGTGTCATAATTCATTGCCAAATCCACGGTCATGAAGATTTACTACTATGCTTTCTTCTAAGAGTTTATAGTTTGAGCCTGACATTTAGGTCTCTGACCCACTTTGAGTAGCTTTTGGGTGTGGTGTCCAGTAAGGGTACAAGTTCATGCTCTTGCATTGCCTCTCCATTTGACCTCGCACTAGTTGTGGAAAAGACTATACCTCCTCTCGACTGAATCATCTGTCAAAGAGAGTTAGTTGACCATAGACACACAGGTTTCTCTCTAGACTCTCAATTCTATTCCATTGATCAGTGTGCCTGTCTTACCCTGGTACCTCACTGTCTTGATTACTGTTGCTTTGTACTATGTTTGGAAATTGTAAAGTATGAATATTCCAACTTTGTTCCTTTTCAACTGTCTGGGCTATTCTGGGTCCCTCACAATTCCACATGAATTGTGGAATCAGACTGTCAATTTCTACAAAGAAGTCTGCTGGGATTCCAGTAAGAGATGCAAATGATTTTATAGATCAACTTGGGGAGTGCCACCACCTTAATCATACTAACTCTTTCAATCCATGAAAAACATCTCTTTTCCATTTACTTAGCTATGCTCTAATTTCTTTCAATAATGTTTAATAGCTTTCAGATTATAAATTTGTATTTGTCTTCTGTTAATGTTATTTCTGGGTTTTTTTAAGCTATTGTAATAGAATTATTTTCTTTATTTCACTTTCAGATTGTTCTGTGAAAGTATATAACAATACAATTAATTTTTGTTTCCTGATTTTGTATCCTGCAACCCTGAACTTGTTTATTCTAGTGTTTTAGTCAGTTAGGATTTTCTATGTACAAGACCATACTGTCTGTAGATAGGGAAAGTTCCTTTTCAATCTAGATGTCTTTCATTTCTTTTTCTTGCCCTGACTAGAACTTCTAGAACAACGTCGAATAAAAGTGGCAAGAGTGGACACCCTTATCCTGTTCCTGACCTTAAGGGAAAAGCAACTAATCTTTCAACCTCATCTATGATGTTAGCAGTAGGATTTGCATAGGTGTACTTCATCAGATTGAAGCAGATCTCCTTTAGACCAGGTTTGTCATTATGTAATACCCCTCTTTACCCCTGATAATTCCACTTGTTCTGAAGTCTGCTTTGAGATTAATATAGTTACTAGCTTTGTTTAGAGTTGTATTAGCTTTGAAAATACTTCTCCATCCCTTTAATCTGTGTCTTCATATTTAAAGTGTATTTCTTGTAGACGACATACATGGTTGTGCCTCATTTTTTTATCCACCTTGTCTCTGTCATTTAACTGGTTTATTTAGACCATTCAGCTTTACAGTGATTATTAATATAGTTACATTAATATCTACCAAGTAAGTAAATTTTCTATTAAATACTTTTTTTTATCTTATATTTATTTTTTGTCTTCTCTCAGGGCTTTAACATTTTGTGATTCCATTTTCTGTCTTCTCCTAGCACATCAAATATACTCCCTTAAAATCTTTGTTAGCAGCTGCCCAGACTACTTTGTAGTATATGTTTACAACAGATGCAAGTCCACTTTCAGGTGACACTCTATTCCCTCATGGGTGGTGCAAGTGCCTTTTAACAAAGCATTCCCAATTCCTTCCTCCTGCCCCTTAAAACTGCTGTCATGCATTTCACTTATCCATAAGATATAGCCACCATGTACATCTTATCAGAGCTTCAGATTTACACCAAGTACACTGTTACTATTATTGTTTTGAACAAAAAGTAATCTATCAGATCAATTAACACTGTAGAGAGAGGTAGATACAAAGAATCACAGCTGATCAGGTCCAGAAGCCCGCTGATGGAGTTAATACTAGTAGAAATATTTAAGCTGAATTTAACAAACCATTGCATGTTCAGTTTTGGGGGAGGGAGCCTGTCCTTATGAGCTCAATTATCTGATGCATCTTAGAAGAATTGTTGTTTTTCAGTGTGTTCAGATTTTTCTCTTGTGAAGGTAAGAATGATGACTTCCAAGCTCTTTACCACATTGGAGTAGAAACTAAAAATCTTCCATTACTGTTGAATAGTCTATTTCTCCCTTCATTTGTCTGTTTTTTGCTCCATGCATTTGCCTCCTATTAGGTGCACATCTGTTTATAGTGCATCCTGAGGGGTTGAGCCTTTCATCATTATTAAATGTCTCTATTCCTAGTAACATTTTTTGCCTAAGTCTATTTAGTCTGCTATTAGTTTAGCCACTCCTGCTTTCTGTGGTTAGTTTATATGATGTACATTTTTCCATCCTTTTACTTTTAATCTTTGGATATGGAGTGTTTCCTGTGGATAGAATATAGTTAGATCTTTTCTTTTAAAAAAATCCATTTTGATATGATCTCTCCCTTTGACATGACATAATCCTTTCATTATTAATGTTACTATTGATATAGTTAGACTGAACACCATTTCTTATTTTCTAAATATCTTATGTTTTTGTCCCTCTAATCACCTTTACTGTTTTTTTTTACTTTAAGTGAATATTTTTAAATATAGCATTTTAATTTCTGTAATGATTTTTCATCAGTTTGAAATTATTTCCTTTGAGGTTGTTCTAGGCTTGTCATGTACATCTTATCAGAGCTTCAAATTTATATCAATTTAATTTCAGTGAAATAAACATTACTTCTAAATGGCTCTCTTTCCTTCTTCCTTTTTTTGTGGTACTATTGTTACATTTTTCATCTATAAATGTTCCAAACAACAATACATAAATATTTTATATAATTTTATGTCTTTGAAAGCATAAGAAGAGGAAAAAGGAGAACAAATATATTAGCTCTTGTTATATTAACCTTATTTATCTTTCCTGATTCTCTTCATTTGTTCCTGTGTATGTGAATTTACCACCTGGAGTCATTTCCTCAGCCCAATACAACTTTGCTCCCACTACCTTCTTGGTACTATTAGTGGTAAATATATTGTATTTCTTTCTATGCTACAGAACCAAGAATACTTTAAATACTTATAATGTATACAACTGCTTTTTCAATCAGTTAAGGGAATAAAGGTGGAGAAATATGTATTTAATGCTTCTATAATTATGTAATAACCTTTACTGGTGGTATTTGTTTTTCCTGTCTGGAGTCACTTAACTTTCACTATGAAGAACTTCCTTTTTTATAAGGCAAGTCTGCCAGCAACAAATTCTCTCCAGTTTTTAATTTCATCTTCTTTTTTAAGGTAGCTTTGCTGTATACAGGACTCTTGATTGACAGATTTTTTTTTCTCTGATCACTCTGAGTGTTATCCCACTGTCTGCTGGCCTCCATATATTCTGCTGAGAAATCAGCTGTTGCTCTTATGGGGTGAGCAATGAGTCATTTTTCTCCTGCTGTTTTCAAGATTTTCTCCTCATCTGACTTTTAGCATATTTACTATGATTGTGTCTGTTTATGGACCTTACTTGGAATTAACAGAGCTTCCTGAATGTACAGATTCATGTTAGTCAATACATTTGGAAATTATCAGCCATTATTTCTTCAAATATTCTTTCTGTTCCTTTTGGTCCTCTACAGGTACACTCATTATATGTATGATGGTGCATTTAAGTGTCCCACATTTCCCTAAAGCTCTGTTCATTCTTCTTCATTCTTTTTTGTTTTTCAGACTGATTAATCTCTAGCGATCTATCTTCAAGTTTGCTAATTTTCTCTTCTGCCAATTCAAATCCACCAATGAGCCACTCTAGTGACTTTTTCAATTCAGTTATTATACTTTTTAGCTGCAGAATTTCCCTCTCGTCCTTTTTTATAATTTGTCTCTTTACTAATATTCTCTATTTGATTTGACAATGCCATCACACCTTCCTTTATTTTATAAATCATGCTATTCTTGAGTTCTTTGAATGTATTTATAATGGCTACTTCAAAGTTTTTGTCTACTAAACCCAGTATCTGATTGCTCGCACTGGTACTTTCTGCTGCCTGCTTTTTCTCCCGTGTATGGATCATACCTTCTCTGTTTCTTTGCATGTCTTGTAATTGTTTATTTTCATCAAAAACTGGACATTTTTTATAGTGAAGCCTACTTGTCCCTTCCCCCCAACTCCTCAGGTGAATCCTTAGCACTGATCTTCAGATGGTCTAACCTTGGGTGTACCCACAGACTCCACTGGAAGACAGTGGTTTTGACAAGGCTCTCTTTGTCCATTTCCCTGACCACACCCAGCTGTTAAAGCTCCACTAATAGCTGGCCGATCATTGTTTTTGAGAATGCCATGGGGCGTAACTGCTTTACAGACTGATCTAATCAAGTTCAGATCTTTTTAACAGGATTTCTGAGGTCAGTGTTTGAGATCTGTTCTGCAAGGGCTCTTTCCAGTTGTCTCTCCAGTTCTTGCACTAAACTAGCTGACCTACAGATTAGCCTCTACAGGCTTTTGCTTTTCTTACCAAGTTTTAGTAGTTTTTCTTAAATAATTGTTTCCTATTTGCTAAGTATACACTTAGGACTATTTCCAGAGAATTTAAATGCTTTCTTTTAAGTAATTCTTCCTAGTTTTGCAGGGGAGCAGGTTGATAAACCTCCTTATTATCATGCCAAAAGTGGGAACTTCAAGCTCGTTTCTATACAGGTTTTTGAGCGGACATATGTTTTAAATCCTTTTGGGCATGTATCTTAGTGTGGACATGCTGAGTCATATAGTAATACTATCTATGATTTTACAAATTATCCTTTTAAACACTGAGACTACAGGGAGTCAGAGAGAATTTTTCCTAATGCAAGCACATAAATCTGTGTTTAAACATTGCTCCTTCAGCTTACAAAACCAGCAATGCAGAGATGGAGAATTTTGTATTCCCTGTACATGTGTGATGCACTCACTAGCTAGATACAAACAGCACAATTCACCTTAAAAACCCTGGTCTCCATGGTAAAGATTACTATCAACAAAACAAGAGGCTACCTAAAATTTCATCCTGTCTGCTCTGTCTCAACAAATTTTGTATTGTACAACAGGCTTTCACTGAAATTAAAAGCATGCATATGTTTTCAATAAGAGCAAAATTTCTAAAGAAGGGTCTGGGGTTTTCAGTGAAGGGATGTTACTATCAAGTAAGGGTGTTCTATATTAACACAATATAGTATTTTTCATAAAACCAAGCTTGGGAGCAGATGGGAACATCTTAAATATTAACATAAATATGGATTAAAACATGCATACGTTTTTTAGAGCATTTCAAAGAGCTGTTTGAGCTTTCAGCTACCACTTTCGGCTTTGCCTTCAGATTCTTCAGTACACACATTATACTCACTTCTCATGGCAGTTAGAAGTACTCAGAAGCATGTGAGAAGCCCTGTCCTGGACAATCATACTATAAAAATACACACACAACACACACACACACACACACACACACACACACACACACAGAGCATTCTATTTACATTAGAAACTCATTCAGGAGAGAATTATGGTTATTATTCTGCATATTCTCAATAAGCTTATTGAAGCATGCTACTCATAGTGAGGATTAAATAAATGGAATTTAAAGAGATCACTGGCAGTAAGGTTGATGAGACTGAAAACAAAAGGGATAGGATCAAAGGACCCTTACAGATTTGTCTAAGACATCAGTTCAGCTATTCTAGGAGAAGCCTGAACAGGAGAAAGTACACTGGCCCCTCCTCGCTTGGCATTTAACAAGCTACACTTAACAAGACTAATCAGAGGAAGTAGCCCTTAAATAAACTATTTGCTTTGGGGTAAAAAACTAAACTAAACCAAACTGGACAGAAACATATTAGTTTTTAACCATCTTATGCCCAACCTGATATAAAGAACTGATATATACAAACTGATACAAAATGACCATATGCTTTTGTAGTATTAATTTAACTGATAGGGAAGACTAATTTCTTATTTTGTGAACAGAAAAGTATAACACAAACTCCAACTAACCTTGGGGCTCACTGACCAACACCAAGCACTTTAAGACACCAGGAAGGAGGGGTTCGACCTCTGAAACACCGACGGTAGTTTCCTGGAAGAGCTGGAGGACGAAGGCCAGAGCGGACATCAGGCGAGAGGCGGGCAAGGACCCTTTACACTCAAAGTAGGATTTCCTGGGGGGGAAAAAAAAAGCAGAATTTTCCTTTTCCTTCTGCTTAAAATTTCAATAGAGCAGAATCTTATGTTGTACACTTTAAAGACACTGGCAGATTTTACTCTCCAAATTAATAAAGTACATTTTTTACAAAGTATGCATATTTTACCAGGCTATCCTCAAACATAAGATTTTAGAAGCGATGACTACAACTCCTTCTGATGTGCCCACGAAGGGCAAAGTAGAACACAGACATGAACTGAATTCAAGGCCACCTAGTCCTAAAATGAACTTCATCAAAATCCAAATGACAGTCTAAGTATTAATTTATTATATTTTCCTTTCTAATGTAAGCCTGATCTACTCTATCAGCTCCTCAATGATGCAACATTTTTTCTAACGCCAAATTTGCACAAAGAACTCTTTCCTCACATTTATTTAGATAGGGATTTGGGAGGGGTCTTATTTTTCCAAATCATTACGTGGACTATCCTAGAAATTAGGTCTCCATTCCATCAAGGAAGGAGAGGTAATTTGGATAAAATATCTTCTCTCATAGTACAACATAGTTTAGCATTGAAACTCACAGATATTAAAGATAATTTATCTGATGCATTTTTGTATCTTTACTTTTTAGAACAAGCTTTGGTTTATAACAGGTGTTCAATGTACATTTGTTAAGTGAATAATTGAAAATAGGAACTGCTCAATTTTTAAAAAGTATACACAGTGTGAAAAGTTGTCAAATACACCTAAATCTAAGCTAGACATCCATATATATTTGCAAGGCAATAATACTTTGTCAAAACGAGGAACAGAAATCACACAGGATGATCAACTTCATCAGAGCAGGAACTATGTCTTCATCAGCATTTCTGATTCACACAGTGACTTCTAACAAGTATCACCTATTAGAAGATTCATTCTTTGAGGGTAAGGGTTTTGCCTTTTGTTCACCGCTGAATTCCTAATGTCTAGAACAAACATTTCTTGGGTATCTACAGTGTGCCACGTACAAGTCTAAGAACAATAATATAAAGTTAAATAAACTATGGCCTCTGAAAGCAAGAGGCTCACCATCTATGGAAAAGTTGGACAAGGAAAAAGAAATTATAGTAACACGCTGTGACAGACGCACTGAAAGATAAGCCTGGAATTCTCAGGAATTCAGAGGAAGGAGTCCTAAATAAGATGGGGAACTATGGAGGAAGGCAAAGAGGAAATCTCTATTTTTTTCCTTTGTAAGAAAAAGGAATTGTTACATTTTTGGGTTTTCAACTAGAAATAATGAGAAAAAAGTTGTCATGTAAATAGGAAAGTCAACTAAAGCAGCCAGGATCCTGAACACTGGAATTTAAAGCAGTTTTATAACCTTAAAGATTTAATTTCACCTCAGCTCTTTTCATTTGCTTTGGACGAAAAGTACTCATACAATGTCTCAAACACAATGTTAAGAGTACTACAATCTTATTGGGAATTCAGATACAAGTAAGGCAAAAATATCACAATTCTGTCAACTGAATCCTACTCAGCATATCACTTCAGAAGGACAGAAGCATCATGGCACACTGAGATATTAGGTGTAGATCTTAGAAAGTCTAGGCAGAATTTAGCCCAGAGGGATGGCATTTTAATGGAAAAAATGGTCTGAACAAAGCTGTGATGTAGGGAAACGTAAAGCATTCTGGAGGGACAATAACTAAAGTGATCTCGTTACGATTTGTAAATGATGCCATATGCAGAACACTTGGAAAAGTTAAGTGACAGATCATGGAAAGCTAAGGAGTATGAAATTTATTCCACAGGCAAAAAAGAAGCGAATGAAGGTTTGCGGGCAGCTAAATGTCATAATGGAATACTATTTTAGGAAAAGTAATCTGGGAACATTATTTAGGCTACACTGGAAAAAAGATTAGAGTTAATGAAAGTAGGAGGCTCTGGCAACAGTCTAGGTAGCATGTGGTAAGGAAATAAGATAGGAAAAGAAGGGAAGGAAATAACCATTTACCAAAGGGTGGCAAAGGAGAGGAACAAAGAATGCAAAGCTTCCAAACTAGTAACAAAATGCTAGGAACACAAAACAGCCAGAAACGAGAACAGATTTTAGACACAGAATTCTGTAATGAGAAGGGAAGGACAATATCAGATCATTAAAGGTATAGAAAAAAATGACTATTCAGTCATTAAAAACATAGGAAAAAAATCTTTCTTTCTTAGAAGAAAACATAGACAGTAAACTCTTGAACATCAGCATTAGTAATCTTTTTCTGGATATGATTCCCCAGGAAAGGGAAAGCAAAATAAACAAAAGAGACTACATCAAACGGAAAAACTTGAATGGTAAAGGAAACCATCAGCAAACTGAAAGGGCAACTTACTGTGTGGAAAAATATTATAAGTGATACACTTGATAAAGGGCTAATATCCAAAATATATAAAGAATTCAAACAACTCAACACCAAAGAAACCAGGTATCTGATTAAAAAATGGGCAGAGGACCTGACTAGACATTTTTCCAAAGAAGACATACAGATGGGTCACCAGACACATGAAAAGATGCTCAATATCACTAATCCCCAGGGAAATACAAATCAAAACCAGCAAGAGATATCACCTGACACCAGTCAGAATAGCCATATCCAAAATATAAGAAATAACAAGTGTTGGTGAGGATGTCGAGGAAAGGGAACCCTCGTACATACCGGTGGGATTGCAAATTGGTACAGCCATATGGAAAACAGTATGGAGGTTTCTCAAAAAGCTAAAAATAGAATTACCATATGACCCAGCAATTCTACCCTGGGAATTCATCCAAAAAATATATATATATATCACTAATTCAAAAAGATATATGCACCCTTACATTTATTGCAACATTTTTTTTTACAATAGTCAAGATAAGGAAAAAAAATCTAAATGTCCATTGATAGATGAATGGATAAAGAAGGTTGATGTATTACTCAGCCATGAAAAACAATGAAACCCTGCTATTTGTGACAATATGGATGGACCTAGATTATGCTAAGTGAAATAAATGAGGCAGAGAAAGACAAATAGCATATGATTTCACTTATATGTGATTCCAGAAAACAAAATGAATGAATAAACTAATTAAAACAGAATGGATTCATAAACATAACGAACAGACTGCTGGTTGCCATAAGGGAGTATGGGACTGGTGAAATGGGTTGGTTTGAGGGGGAAAAATTAGCGAGAATGTTTGGTATCTTAATCTGGGCAATGGTTACTTGAGTGTACACACAAGTTAAAATTCATAAAGCTGTGTACTAAGATTTGTGCATTTTACTGTATGTACCTCAATAAAAAAATACTAGATAAGAATAATATATATTACTATGGCATATTAAAGGTTCAAAAACTAATTTCTTATGAAGTTAAAGACTCCATGAAAACAAAGAAAAGATAGTTTCTATTTTTGAATCTTCTAACTCTATAGTTAAAAGGTATGGAATCCCATAGGAAATCCAGTAGGTTTCATTTATTTGTCTGCCTAACAATGACACTGAGTTATTAAGACAGAAAATAGACTAACAAAATAGGACTGTCATACTACTTCCTTTTCATATTAGCATTCATCTTTTCAATTAGTTATTATCATCTTTTATGAAATATAATTACTATATTTTGTACAGTACCAATAGTTACTCTTTATATGATACAAACTAAGAACTATCTATATATATATATAGATACATATCTATATATCTTTAGGACATACATAAGGAAAATATTAGCTGTGTAAAAAACATACTCATAATTAAAGAGCATTGTCTTAGGCTGCCATGAGCAAGTCTTTTAGTAGATTCTTAGATAACACTTCTCAGGGAAAACAAAATTTGTAAACTACCAGTAACCTAAGGGTTGCCAATACTTTTAAGATGCTTTGTTCCTTTTTCGTAGAGATCTGTAACTTGTTAAGTACCACGCATTTTTAATTCTTAGGTGTGTACCTGATGACTTGTACAATACATTTCTTTAGAGATGACGTCGGTGGAGCAGCGGCTGAGTTTCTCAGGGCCAACAGAACAGGGTGTTGCCCAAGACCTAAAACATGTGGTGAAGCTGGAAGAAATCGCCCAATATACTGCTCAACAACATTTCCTAGCAACTGATTCAAATAGGTGTTTGGGTTTGGAGACTGACAACACACGATACACATGCCCTACAGGAGGAAAACAGAAGAAGAAATACTAAGAGGTGAAGTTAAAAATATATTCAGGGACTAACTTAATCCCCAGCATTAATATTCACATCAGAATTTGTAACTTATTACAATCAACAAGGACACTGTCCATCATGATCAAAAGATAATGTTTCTGAGAAGCTCAGGGAGTTGCTGGGCACGGGTGACAGCCATGCCGCGGTAACGGGCAAACACGCTTGTCTCTAGGGCGTCGGAAGGAAGCTTGCTTCCTCCTCTCACTCAGAAAACTTGACTACCACGCTCACCACCTACACAAATGTGTAATTACTAAGTTATAAAATACATCTTGGGTCAGTTTTTTTTATGTAAGGTACTGGTCATTTGTTTGAATAAGGCTATAAAATTTATGCTAAAAATCTCCCACATTAAGAAATGTGATTACATTTTTTTAAATTGACAAAAGGAGTAAAATTCAGAAGATTAATACTTAGAATAATGACAAATAATTTTGAGGTTTTTATGTCAGGCCCTGTGCCATGTGCTTTATATTCTTTATTCCATTTAATCATTCAAAAAAACCCCACATTGATTTAGTATTATTGCGTCTTCAGTTTTACAGCTGAGACTAGGTTTCAGTTAAGAGTTTCACCTAGATTACACAGAATTCACAACACTTTACTGCATATCTGTTGACTCAATCAAGAGCACAAACACACGGAGGGCATTTGTGTAGAAGCAAACAAAGTGCTTTCATATCGATTACAGTATTTGCTGCTTATAATTAAACCAATACCCTGAGAAATAAAATTTTTTTCTGCCACAGTTATTAAACATTGTACATTACTAAGTACAGATAATCACCAACACAACAAATTATGTTCTAAAAATTCATTTATAATTCGGTACTCTGTGATTCACAATGTGTTTTCCCAGAGACATAATTAGAAATGTTTGTCTCCATTTTAGCTAAAAATGGGTATTTCCCCAGTGAGAAATTGTGAAAGTTTTTTTATAATACATAAACAGCATAGAGCTGTTAAAACACTAGCAATTCAGCAACAAAAACTGAAACAAACAATAGACACTTCCGTATCCTGCTTCTTCAAAGCTTCAAGAAAAAGCGTATTAATTGAATCCAAAGATGAAGTAATAAATGGATACATTTTGAAGATTCTTAAGAAGAGAGCTGGGTATTTTAAAGATAATAAAAATTTTAACTCCAAGTCAATTTTGCCAAATGGATAATTCACCAAAATTTTCAATTTACCACTTGGCAAGTTTTTAAGAATTCTATTAAATGTACTACTTTGACTTATAAGCAGGCTACACAGAACAAGCATTTCAGACTCCTGCTGACCGCAGTTCCTCTCCACCCATCTTCCCCTCTGTGGGACTGGCAGTACTTTACTTTTTTGCTAGTGGACACACTAAACTTTGTTTTAAATGATGCTATGAATACAAAATTACAATGCCAACTTAAAATGTCTTATAAATCATAAAAATTTGTTTAAAAATATCTGTATGTGGAGGACTGCTTATTATCGAATCAAAATCCATTCTCCTCTTCTTCTTTAGCTTTCTTTGCTGGACCCCAAATTAAGAGGCTCTTAGCTTCAGATACTAATGAACAACAAAGCACGCTTCCGGCCCCGTCCTTTCCCCAGAATGACAGATCGGTACTTCCAAGTGCCTACTGGACATCTTACCCAGATATTCCACACACCTCAAAGTGAAGCTGTTCAGAAATCAGTTCTTACCTTCATCCCTACATCTTCAGAGCTTCCCATTCCAGTTAGTGGTACCACTACCTGCAGAAGCTGCCAGTCTGCACTCTGGGAAATACTGTTTCTTTCTGTTGCTTCACAACACTCACTCAACAAGTCTTTCTGGTCAGAGCTCCTAAATGTTTCTGAAATCTGTTAAAGAAGCTCTTTACCCAATGCCTTTGTTTAAAACCTTCTGCTGACCATTAACAAACTACTGCATCTCGAGTCTCTAATTTAACCTCTGCAACAACTTATCTTAGATGTTGCCACCGAATCCCCTTTCTAAAATGTAAATGTCACCTGCACTGTGCTACTAAAAATCCATTAACAGTCCCCATGTAAAAGAACAAGTCCATATTTCTTAGCATGGTGTGTAAAGCCCTCCAGAATGTGGCGGCTCCTGTCAGTCTGCAGCCACAACAGAATTACTTGTTTTTCCTCGGTGAGTCATATTTTCTTAAAGCTCATGCTCTTTAGCTGGTGCTCCCCTCTGATGGGAACAGTCCTTCAACTCCTACCCACTCTGCTCTTTCACACCTCACATCCTTTACAATGTCTTCTCTCATATCACCTCAACCCAATCTGATAGACAGACAGACAAGTGAGGCCCCTAAGGAAAATACTGAGCACATTATAGTAAGTGTCTATGTTAGCTGACCTCCTTTCTCAACTTTAAGCCTCTTTAAGGTAGAGATTTTATATTTCCCATCTTTGTTTTCAGAGCCAAACATAAGACAGTAACTACATTAGAGTTTGGAACAATTTGCAGTGCACATAACTGTGGAATCGCTATGTTGTACACCTGACACCAATATATACTGTATAGCAACTACAATGAAAAAGACCAAACTTGTTCAATGTAAGTGCCACATGTGTAAAGGTACACTGGGATTACAATGTATGGTTTTTAAATCTGCACTTAGTGAACTGTTTCAAGGCAAAATTTCAAAAAAATATATATATATGTGTGTGTGTGTGAGCAGACACACTATACCTGGAGATACAAAGGAAGACTCTTCTGAATCGCAGCCAACATGGGGGCAGGGAGCTCTTTCTCTTGCTGTAACACTGTATGTGGCAACAGTAAACAATCTATGATCCGGAATAGTAATTTTTGGGCTTTCGAGGTAGCAAAGATCTGTGCCCATGATTTAACAAGAATTCCTGACAAAGAAGAGTAGTAAAAGCAGTTATGGTTAACTTCTAACCAAAAAAAATCCTGGTTAGTCTTTCCACTAAAAAAACTTGTATTTAAAGCACATAGGACTAAGTTAAAGCAGGCAATTGGAAAAAACTGCATTAGGAGTCAAAAGATCTATGTCAAGTCATGTTATTTCACTAAAGAGACAAATTTATCTTGGCATTCTGGGCTAGGAAAAACATACATTTCCTGAGCAACTGGCATTTAATACATGTACACTTACACACACAATGGAGTCTGGCTGTACATCATGTGAATACATAGATTGAATGTTGCAATAACCGGATCTCCCTTTTTGCTTTGGCTGGTAGGAAACTCAGAGGCAAATTAATAATCCTACTGTAAGAACACTGTAAGGTCATATATTATGCTTTTATGTGTATATTCATTTTTCCCTAGGCTTCATCATGCTACTCCACATTTACTTTCTTGATACTGTTATCTTTACATTTTTATTGTAATTTTACAGGCTGTCTGAACTCAGTTTGCAATATAATTATAATTATATACCTATAAGATATAACTAAATTTAACTGTTAAAATAGGAAAAAAGGATCAGCTTTAACACCTTGAAACACATCACTTCCTTAAGCCTCAATTTCTTTAACTTTTACTATTAACAAACAGTGAGTTTAAATTTTGATTGTGAAAGAAAACAGACTTCTTTACTATATGAAATACAGTTTTCTTAATGCTGGAGTCTGTCAGTTGTTACATTTGATGAGAGTAAATCTTAACAAATGAGGACCCTTTATTTAATAAAGTAATTAAGAGCAGGTATATAACACCCACTAGAGTATATTATTGCTGTTGAGGACAACTTTACTGAAAAAACCAATGTAAAAGGAGATAGTTAAGCACTTATCCAAACAGCACATTGTGATTACAGTAGCATATGTACTGCATAACCTTCTATATTTTATTCCGTCTTGGAAAGCAAAAAAGATAGAATCCAAAGTCATTTACATAACACAAAGTCTAAAATTTAAGCTCTAAAGGAAAACAAAAATATGCTTATAGGAGAGTATTTCAAAGTTTTTTAAAAAACCAGCCCACAATCACTTGTAAGAATGACAAACAGCAGCATTAATATTCTGTTGTAAAAGAAAATGCAATAGTCAATCATAAAGAAACACAATGCTCACTTAGCAATATTTTAAATAATGCTGGCTTGCTCCTCATTTTTCCAGTAGGTGGACAGCTTGAGAATGACAGCAATGTTAAGAACTCACAACCTAACATTAATATACCGCTAAGAGGACTGCCACCACCACTGACATTTGAAATGACTTATATCACTATTAGATGTCACACAGGTATTAACTTATAAATAGCAAGGACCTTCCAACCCAAAATGCATCACCTACCCTTGTATTTCATCTTCTGCAATGGTGAAAATGCTTTGCTGAAGACCTTAAGTTTTATGAGTTCATAGAAGGCTGAGGCGATACCTTTGTTTTATTGCTATATGACACCTCTACTTTTTTAAGTTTCAGCGAAGAACATTTACGTGTGTGTGGTATGAAGAACGTAAAGAGAGAGAAAAATTTTAAGTAAGAAACTCTGGAAAAGATTTGAACACATAGAGTAGCTTTGTAAAAAACCAAGTCTTTTTCCTGGCTATAAACATGTTATTTATTTACCAATGAAGCTGAAAATACAGAAATATTATGGGAGCATGCTCCCACTATTGACAGAGAGCTGTACTCTAAGTGTTCTTACGTATTTACTATTTTCTACTTTATTTATATTATGCCTTAAAATAAAAAAAGAGGATTGGGATCATTATTATGTGTATTTTAAAAAAAGTGTTTATAGTTAGAAAGTAACTTTGCTTATTTAGGAACATTAAAAAATACATTAGGTACTATTAGCTAGGTTTGTAAAAGCATTAAACCCTGGAAATATTTATTTAGTATATGCCATCTCCTGTACTAGAGAGGCTCTGTGACTGATGCACCCCCAACTCCCAATCCAGTGCCTGATGTCTAAGTGGTAAATGTTCTTATTAGTTCAAAATGCAACATGATGATGGGAATAAAAAAGTTCTAAAGATATGGTCACTCCCACTACCATGAGTAAGTCTGAAATTCAGCAGGGACACGCCACGTGCACAAGTCGCTGCGATGAACGGCAGGCTGTGAGGAATGCCCCCAGGACAGAGGACGCACAAGCACAGAGATCAGGTCTACTTGGGAATGTGGGCTGAGCACCGAAGGGTCACGGATAGAATTTTGGTTACAAAAGAAAGGACATGGAAACAGAAAATTAAGAGATAAAAAGAAGACCAAAAAAAAAACAAGAAAATGATCTAAAAGGAGGAAAGCTGAAGATATTACTGGTGGCCCAATCCTGCTTTGTCAGAAATTACTGAGCTACCATTAGGACCCCAGATGCCTTAATCTGAAGTGTGATTTTCTCAACAGTTGACACCTTCCACAGCCTTGCAGGTGAACAGCAGAGGGACCCCTAGTTAGGAAACAGGAAAGTACACGAAGCACAAGGTTTCAGAGCTTAACTCTCCTTTCCTCAGGTGGATATGACACCTCAACCCTACATACTTAAAACAGGTTTAGACCCTCAGAAGTTTAAACCTGCTCCTTCTCCGTCTTGTTCTAAACCTTTCATAGACAGAACACTGAAAATTATCTGCTCCTAATTCCTAATGAATAAATGGGCGACGCGGTAGCAGTGCACTCTACTCCCAGCCTGAGATCCAGACAAAAGGGAAGAATGCAGACCCACCTGCCACGTAGCAAAAAGTCAGCCACATGGTAACAGAAAGGCTCTCAACCCTTCATAAGGAGAATTCTGCCTCAGGTCTACATATCGCCAATCCAAATATAATTTTGTAGCTCCTGATAAGACTATATTTTGTAAAATAAAGATACACCCTCAAATCATACATTTAGCTTGGCAAAAATCTAGTGGAAACTAATAAATCATAGAACTAATAAATTATAAGCCTAAATGCTGAAATATTCATTAATCTACATCTTACTATGTTATATTTATAATAAATTTGCACTTATATTTTCCTTTAAAATTAAAAGGCCTGAATTGCTACTACATATTTCCAGATTTCCACATTCTCCTTTACCTTTCACAACAATGATAAAAGGTTTCAGATAGCCCACATCAGGTTTGTTCGTATGTTCACAAGATAGAAGGGAACAGATGTAGAGTTTTGGCCAAAGATAAATTAAAAACAACAACAACAAAAAAACTCAAAAAACCTCAATTCTGTATAAAAATTTCTAAGGAAATCCTTCTTATTCCCATTTATCCAGTCACTATTTTTGATTAGCAACATGGTTTTAGTGAACAAAGGTATTCAGATTACTGACTCCCTAAAGAAGGATGAACTCTGTTGTTATAAAACAGGCACAGAAGATTTCTTTTTGAAAGGAAGAAACATACTATTGTGAGAAACACATCTGGACCATAAGTATCTTTAGTGTTGTAATAAATTCTTTCCTGACCTTCTTCATAGAGAGGAGACCATAAAAAACAGAAGGAAGAGATGGTTTTTTCTCATATATTAAATTCTAACAAAGCACAGATAAGCATTAAAAAAAAAGTCCATTTTAATTATCCAGGTTACTCAAAATATGAGTGATTCACAACACACTATTGATGGCAAATTGGTTTTGGCATATTTTCTGTATTGATCATAATTAATTTTAAGATTAACACAAGCCTAATAGGAAAGGTCTGAAAGGAGGTGGCATGACAAGGATACACTTGAAAACTAACAAGAATTATTTTATGCTATCACTCTTTCATTATCCTTATGATTATATGGAGAATAGTTTTTTAGCCAGAGTATTAGTATATTCCTATTCATCAAGATATTATAGGCTAAACCTAAGGAAGTCTTAATAATGTCACAAATACATACCCATCATCCTATAAGTCAATTGCAGCCCTGCAGTGGACACTTTTTTTCCCAAATAAGGTTTTATATATTTTAGTATTTCACCAAGGTATTCTAAAGACTTTGTGACCATGGCCGATTTATCAGAAAGTGTCTGCAGATTCCCGTAAGTTATACCAACAGCCTATAAATAAGGAAAAACAAGATTTAGCTTTCCAAATTTTATACAATACAGGCTTTGAAAAGTAATGATAATTTCTCTCTCTTTACACACACAAACACACACCCTTTATGTTTAAGTCTTTATCCTTAACTGTGCAATATATGTTCACAGCAACTAAAATGCAAGGGAAAACAATTAACTCTTGCCTCTTATAATTAATATAAAGGTTAAAAGGAGTAAAAAAATCCATTCACCAATAATTTTTCATATTATGTTTGACTTAGCAAAGCATTAGTAAAAAGATACATGGAACTGATATAAAAGAAGCATAAAATCAAATCACATCAAGACTTCCAAACATCCTATCATACAACTGGGAATTCCAAATCCCCAAAGTCCTACAACTATGATCTCTATAAAACTCAGCTTTGTAATATGAATTGATTCCCCTCAGAATTTTCTTTATGAGCTGCTAGACACCAGCTTAACTTCCACAGAAGAAAAAAGGATGAGGCGTGAAGGGTGGATGACAAAATGGGGAAGTGGTGAAGAGAAGGGTGAGGTGAGACAGGCAGAGAGTAATAGTGAGGAAGAAGAGGGGAAATAAATGAAAGAGTAAGTTGAGGAAAGGTGAAAATAAGCAAGAGGTGAGAAGTCACAAAAAGAGTCAAGAGAAGACTGGCTACAGACGGGCTGGAAGGTTTGAGAAGAGTGGTACAATTTCCAAACCATTACTGGGAACTCACAGATTTCAGGAACCTAAGTTGGATATAAATGGCAGCAATACATAGAGTTATGTGATTTTAGATAGGACAAAGGAGAGAAAGCAAGTATTATACTAATCTAAGATAGAGGGTTTGTAGATGTGACCAAAAGACAAAGGAAAGGATGCAAGACTGTGAATGTCAGCAGAGTAGGTGAAGTGAGACCTCCAAGGGGCCTAATGAAGGTGGACAGGGAAGGAAGGGCGACCCTGAGAGGACATAACACTTGGAGAAAAGGAAGAAGAAAAAATTTTAATTATTAGTTTATTTAAAAATAATAAACATTACATGTTAAAGTAATTATTTTTAGTGAAAAATAAATTTATTTTCCAAAACAAACAAAAGAAGTAGTGAGAAGTGGCGTGTTTCTTTTACGATTTTGCAAATCTCTTTAAAAGTCTGGCTTAATAGAAGACAGCTAGATTCTCATATCTGCTTCTGTATGTAATCTAGTGCAATGTTACAGACGAAAACAATTCAGCCTCACAAACATGTAGCTGGAAAAGGAAGAGACTTTTTAATTTTTCAGATCACTGTGGGAATTCTTCTTCGCTACTACACTAAAACTTGAAATGTGGTATTTCTTAAGCTTAATTGTAATATGGAATTCAAAGCCAAGTCAATCAACACTTTGTTCTCTGCTACATTAAAAGTCACTGGCTTACCTTTGCTCTTTGAATGACTGCTTTAAAGCCATCCATGATTTTTAAAAAGCCTATATTGGTCATCTGGAAATTTCTGATTCATTGAGGTATGCAGCCTACCAATGCTGACCCATTTCATTACCCATATTTAAAAAAAATCATATTCATTAATACCACTACCAACGTCATTAGAAAAATCTTTTATTGAGAAGCTCTCAAGAGCATGATGGCAAATACGAGATTTCCAAAATTCTAATTTTCTTGAAAGCTCAAATTATGTTATCTGCAACAAATGCTATCAGTTATTTTCTTTGAATTGATAGGCTTATCTCAATCATTTTTGGGAAAACGAGTCTGAATAACTATATTTTGTCAGCGATTGTTTCAAGATAAAAGCAGTCAGTTTAACTGCAACTCGAATCACCAGAGGAGAGCTTTTAATCTAGACACCATCTTGCTTTGCAGCAAAGGTTCTTTAAGTGCACTTCCCACTGTCATTCACAGATCACTGGAAGGACATGTACTCAAAAGTCAAAATTTAATAAAATTATTAACTTTACTGCTCATTAAGGATATTCTTATATGAAATTGGCTTACTTCTTCTTTTTCTCAGTGACTACATGGCAGTGAAAATTATAATGACTACCAGTGTAATCTTGGGCCATGGTATTAGTTTGTATTAAAGCTTCTGCACTATTTGTGCAAATGTCAATATACTTTTTTTTGACGTTGGAGAACTCCTACAAAGTTATCAGTAACCCCCATAGGTCTAGGAAACACACTTCTAAGAACCAGTAACCTTGATCTCAGTATTTTTCTGTTGAGTCTTAACCATCCTACACTGAGACAAGTATTTCTCAGTGCCTTGATTATCACTACTTACGTGTCACACTATCATTTCTGGGCAAGGAAGAGTTAACACAGCAGGCCCAACACTGCTATGCTTACAAAAGCATACTTGCAGAGCTGGCCCTTGGCTGGTGTTTTGACCTTAGCTTCTTCCCACCATTTCCTGGTAAGAAAGGCTGTTTGTGCAAACAATATAGTTTATGCTGAATATAGTTGCCCTTCTCAGAGTCTAGGATTTTGTAAATGCTAGGCAAAGGGGACCTGTGTGACCAGCTCCCATTATAAACCTTGGGCACTGAGTTGTTAATGAGCTTCCCTGGTAGAAAACATTTCATGTGTTGTCACAATTCATTGCTGGAAGAATTAAACAAGTCCAGTGTAACATCTTGGAGAGAACCCGTGGAAGCTGTGCCTGGTTTCTCTGGACTTCACCCATGACCATTTTCTCTTTGTTGACTGTGCTTTGAATCCACTGTATGAAGTCACAGCTGCTAAGTACCACTATATGCAGACTTCTCTAAGTCCTTCTACTGAATCATAGCACCTGGGGTTCATCTTTGGGACCCCTGACACAACCTCAAAATAAACGAGTTTATAATTGTACTCCTTTCTACTTCTACCCAACCCTACATCATGATGTTTCTATTTTTCCTTAAGGTATCATCATTCTTCTAATTTTAAACACAGTATTTATTTCATATGAATTCAAAAATCTCATATTTCAACACTAACTTCCTTCTAAATCTTGCAAGTTTCTGACCAATCATCTACTCTATTGTTAATTTTTCTTAAAAAGTAAATTGCTCAAATCAGACCTACTTAAAAATTTATAAAGCCTTCACACTGTTCACAGGATAAAACCTAAACTTCTTATACCAGGATGCTCTGAATTCTTACCTCATGACTCTTACCTTATCTATCACTTAAGCATATACTGTCTTATATTATTACTATTTTAACCTTTGTATATATCTTGTATTCTCAGACAAGTAAAAGTTTTCTAAGATCAAGGAGGACTTCCTTTGTTTTTAAGTTCCTAAGAGTTCCTAGCATAATACTATCTAGCATTTAGCAAACTATTATTTATTGAGTGTTAAAAGAGCAACTAATTTGAACTCAATTAAATTAGAGGCTTTGACTAGCATAGGTGTTTAATTATTGGTTAAGATCCAATCAACAAATACATAAAAGGCTTAATAGAAATGCATATTTTATATCAACATACTATTACTAAATTTGTAGGATTAATGTGACATCTCTGTTGTACAACTGTACTTTAACTTAATGGAAATCAGTAGAAGAATTCACATTTATGCAAAGAGCTTATGAGATGTATGATTTTCACTGTAGTTAATACCAACCACTCTGTGGGAAAAACCAACTTTTACTGTGAACAGCTTACAAAAACACTAATCCAAACACATTAACAACCTTAACTAGACTGTAAAGAAAAGACTATCAGAAAAAAGACTCCAACAAAATTAATAATTAAGAATGAAATGTTGAATGGGGCTATTTATTATAGAGACAAAATGAAACAAATAGATTGGGTTTTAAAGCCCCAACCATACTATGATATCAAGTAATTGGTGTTTATGCAGAATACACTAAAATTTCACTGTAAAATTTACGCCATTTGGTAAAGGGTGGTAAACATTGAGCTGGAACTATTATGGACCATATAACAGGAAATCTAGTTCCCAAGTATCTGAAGAATATTGCTCTCCAGCAATTTCAGTAATAAAATATTCCTACAATTTAGATTAGTGTTAGCATAAGGCTTCATGTAACATTCTTTACTCTTATTATTTTTCATTAAATATAATTCTTCTGATATCCTTATGAGTATATGAACTATACTATACCTTTTATTCCTCCAGAATTTTATAATAACAAGCAAGCAATAATATGATCCAATTTAAGAAATTTCACTTTATAGAGTAAGTTTGAGAACACTTCAAGTTTTTTTGAAAAGTTAATTTTAACTGATTTGCACATTATACTAATAAATGAAAAATACCTCGAAGAATTGAACAAGTGCTTTTTTAGGATCTTCTGTGATGGACAAATCTTCAACGTGAGCCTTTAAGAAAATATCCTTTACTTCTGAGAGTTTAAATAGCAACCTTGTCAGTTCAGCCAGCTGTTCCAAATACTCCTTTTCTGTTAAAATAATATCATAATATTTGTAGAGTATGTTTACTACATTAATTTATTTTATATATAGTGGACGAGAAAGCAGAGAATGGAGTGTTCATTCATGACCTTCCTTTTAAAATTCAAATTTTTGCATAATTAAAAACTTTGAATTTAAGTTCTCTCACTAATGGAAAGTTTTATTTAAAAACAAACATGTACTTGTAAGTGTCCTAGGCCCCAAAATTATTCATGTAAAGCCAACTGCCATAATAAGACATCAAAATAAATATGGGGCATTTTTCTATCTTTGCATGATTTATAAATGGTCCTGAAGAATAGCTTTAGGAAGAGGCATGTCCTATAGTTCTCCATGGGGAACTTTAAAAAGTATGGGTATCATTTAGTGACTAAAGCAGAAGAAAGGTAAAATAATCAAATACAGAATGGGGGAGAACTACTCATAATTGACTGTTTTTCTTTTTAGGGTGTTCTGGTGGGATATCTGGTTATTTACTTCACAGTTTCACTTTTCTGTGTGTGTGATCAGTTTCTTCAAGGAAAAAAAAACCAGCCTGTCACCTGAAAGCAAATTTTTGTTCTGGGCCCCCAGGTAAAACAAGTTATTTTATCTTCACAGGAGAGAAATCTGTCATATATGTGACAGGTTGCAAAGGGGAAGGAAACAGGTTGCAAAAGGAAATTTCTATATTCATACCTAATTGTTAAAAATATATTTTGTATCTCTTCTATTAATTTATATAGCAAAACAGGGAATTTTTAACATATTTAGCTGTCTAGAAAGCAAAACTCCTGCAAAACTTACCAACTGCCTGTTCAGGATTTATATCAACATAAAACTCATCAGGCACATGGAGATTTTTTACATACATTTGCAAAATGCAACGGATCCATGATCTCACAGTTAAGGCTTGAAAAGATACACAGCCTGAATGAGAAAGTGCTTCACATAACATGCTGTAAAATAAGTCGATGGATATTAAAAAACAAAAACAAAAGCAAAATTTGACAATATGTTCCCTGAGTATAGACATTAATAAATAAAGAACAGCATTCTAACATTCCCCACTTCTTTTGACCTCGCTGGTATACAAACACACTAATGTAGACATGCACTGCTGAAAATGAACACTACAGATACACACAACAAGACAGTTCAAGTAAGTATTCTTGCTTTCATTGGTAATGCTCTGATTTTTATTTTTTCTTTTCTACTGATGGCATAGGTGTAGGCTTACACCAAGGGAAAGAGGTATAGAAGAATATGGTTAAATGGGAGAAGTCAGGAAAGGGTTTACTACTACTAGTTGGGTGAAATAATAACAAAAGAAGCGGCAAGTATATAAAAAAAAAACAGTGGCCCTTAGAGTAGATAAACAAGAGAAGCATTCAAGAGCATATATATAAGAAAAAAGTTAAAGACAAAATATATTTCTCTGTGGGTCTCCTGACCAACCCCATTCCCTTCCCTCCCTTTCTGTGCCCCACCCCATAGATGGTCATGATTACAGAATTCCAGGTAACATCTGCTAAAACTTTTTAAACTCTTTCTACAGAGCCAAACCATGTTGATTTCTAAATATGATTTCTAATCATTTCATAAGAGGGGGTAGAGAGAATGAGGATGTCTTTAAGCTAACTGTAAAGTGTTATGCAAACTCAGAAATTTTAACAAAACATATAAATACTGTTCTGAAGAACTTTCAAATGTAAGTTGTCACAAAAGGAGTACACAATGCAAAAGAACTTAGATGGGTCATTTGTTACCTATCCAACCTTCCCAAAACTCACACCTTTGCATTTTAGTTTCTTCAATTGTTTAATACACAAACGTTATTTTTAATACTAAAATTATTTCAGACAGTATCAGCAGAAGTGTTCAATAAATAATAATGATTTTGTTGTTACAGAATTGTTAAGTTGGAAGGGAACCTGCAAGCCCAAGTGAGGCTGACCTCCCTTATTCTGCAACTAAAGCCAGTGAGACGGTGACTAATGGCCGCTTCACGAGCGTCCACCTGAGAACACCTCCCCCCGAACCACCTCACTCTTCACTTTCACCGACTGGCGGCTTGGGCAAGAACTACAGTGGTCTCTCAGGTCTCTGTTATTTATTTTATTTTCCCTCATCTCCATATTCTTATTCAAATATTCCTGATCAACTTTATGCTCCTTCTGTTTTAACTTTACGTTGTGTATTTTTTCTACTGGGGCTCCTCTGGTCTCTCATGCACTGTGGCAAGAGATACTAAGAGATAAGGAGACCAATGCTCAGGGTGGTGAAGTGTCTTGTTCATAATCACACAAGATAAGAGTCAAATCTTTAAATATCTAGTTGTGAAAGGAAAGCTATCATTAAATCTAAAAGTACAGTAATATATAGTGTCTTACAGACTTAGCTATATTAATTGTGTAATTTCTTCTACAATGCTGAGCACAGAAAGGCCACTTCAGGAGGAGTAAGGAGTCCTACCAAAGTTTCAAAGAAGGGCTTAAACAGAATTAGCTTTTTGAGAAAAGCAGGCCTCACAAAACACAAGTTAACTTTCTTCCTCCTACTACCATCAAAATGCTGATACATCCAAAACAAAACACTGCTCCAGTGAGAGTACATGTAGTAAAGACCAGTTTTTATTTGTGAAAATTCTTACTTTCCTAGTGTATCAACCTATCACGGGTTACACTAATGAGCATACCTAAAATAACTTACCCATTTTGTAGGAAATGACTTAAGTATCTTGCTACAACTTGAGGCCAGACGATATCATCCCAGCCAAAAAGTTTTATTAGTGATGTAACTGGCTGAGGCTGAAGATCTGATGGGGCTGTGCTGGGCATGTCCATTGCTAACAAAGTAAAATCTAGATTTCAAATGAGAGAAACTTGTGGTGAGAACTTTAAAAAAACTCTTTCCCCTCCCAAAATTGTATCAATAGTGATTTACAAAAAAATGCAGCACTAAAAATAAAATGTCACATTTAGAAATGTAGAACTGAAAGCTAAAACTGATCTAAATGCATGTTGTCAAAGAAATTTCTCTAGTGGTCATTCAGATCTCCAAGAAAGGGTCTAGAATAATCCTGGCATTATCACTATGAATTTATAATGGTACCTTCAAATTGCAGGTTCAAGCCTGCTGTTTCTGCTAACGTGCTGCCCTCATTCAACAATATTTTTGCATCTGCTCGTCACGGATCAAGCTAATTTACTTGCCTCCTGCCACAGTCGGATTCACTCTTACCTCCCGCCATAGACATTCTTTTCTATTAAACAATGATTGCCTACCATCAATGACACTTCACTTCCTCCAGAACTCGGCCTAGGAAACAGAACTGCTTAGTTAACCATGTTAAATATACTGTAATTTCCTGGGGATTCTCCAACTTAATTTATAATATATTAATTATTTTTGTCAATGAATTGCTTACTAAGCACTGTCTCCTATGCAGCTCTCTCAGATGGTAGCTATTTATTTTCTCATTCCTCTCATAATACTGACCTACACTTAGAGTGACTTTACTCCTGGGTCCATGTTGCTGATTCTAGACCATTCTCCTTTTCCCTGAAAACCTCCAGCTTTGACTCTCATGAAAACAGATGATGCCAGCCATTACTCTTGTGGTGGCATTAGCCCCCTGCTTCCTCAAAGGAAGACTGTGGCTCGCTGACATTCTAACAGCATTTCCGTCACAAACCTTGTTGGGTCTTCTTCCAACATCCCAGCGTCTTCAGTTTCTTGAGCTCCTCTCCTCCAATGAATCTATCATTCACCATACTTTAGCCTTTCACTCTGATGTGATACTGAGAGATCTTGGCATTGCCAGTAAGTACAATCTCTCCACAATTTTAATTCCAAGGACACTACTTTCCAGCACCAAACTGGCTTTCCAAATGTCCACCTCTAGGTCTCCACCAGGACATACGTTTCATTGATCCTACAGCTTTTTCCCTGTCTCTCACTGTCTTCACGGCTTCCTTTCCCTTTGCAGGCTAGGTCACCTGGTGTGTTATTACACTCATTTCTGTATACCATCAGTTCCCTTGCTTCTTACTTGATTTGTTGTACTTGCCTGGAAAAAACACCATCTGCTGAATTCCAGCTCTTGGTCTTATCCCCACATGTACTTGCACCAGTATAAACGGGCTGGCGAACAACCATGATGACTGATCTCACATTAAATTTGCAACTACAATCTTTACCGGGCCCTTGGAGCTGTCCAGTGCTCCTGCTGTCTCCCTAGTGTACTCAGTCTTATCCTGCTACAGGACTACCGTGTACCACTCTCTGGCATCCCCTCCAAGCCTCCACACTTCCAGCTTCAAAGAGAAGTGAGAACCATCAGAAGAGAACTAACCACAGGCTCCCACGCCATCCCGGCCCATTTACGCTGCTTCTCCGCTGCTCCTACAGATGATCTGACTTGGCCAAGTCCTCTATGGGATCCCATTTCTCTTGGGCATTAAAACACAAGTCAATCTCTGGCATCGTTAAGTTTTCCCTCACTCCAGAATATTCCTGTCAGCACTATAAATATGATGAAATATCTCCCATGTTACTGAAAAAAAAAAAAAAAAACCTTTTCTGACCCCACATCCCTCTGTAGCTAACATCTCCATTTTTCTGCCTCTCTTAAATAGTGATGGTACTCAGAAAGATTTATCTGCATTGTAGTCTCCAATTCCTCTTGCATCTTTCTGGAATTACCTTCAATCAGGCCTCTGTCTTACCACAAGGACTGCTCTTCAAGGTCACCAGTGACCTCTTCCTTGCTGAATCCAATGACTAACTCTCAGGCCACATCCTACTTGACCCATTAACAGCATTTCAGTTGTCCGATCACTTCCTCTTCCTTGAAACGCTTTGTCATCTGATTCCAAGGACACCACACTCCTTGGGTTTTCCTCTGACTTCACAGGCACTCCTTTGCAGTCTCCTCTCTTGGTGCATTTTTATCCGATATACCTGAATATCCTAGGCCTAGTGCTCATACTTCTCTTTTTACCAATACTCCACTGGCGATCTCATACACGAACAGTTGCCCAGTTTAAATCTCCTGCTGGGACCTGTTGCTTGAACCGTAGTCTCATCATCCAAGTGCATATGTAACATTTCTACTTGGATCTTAACAGATATCTAAGAAAAATATGTCCAACGTCAAAATTCTAGTCTCCCTTCAAAAAATCTTCCACATTGCAGCAAACAGGGGACACTGTTTATCTGTTATGCTTACCAAACCTTCCCCTTTTAGAAAATTTTGTCAGCTATAATTTCAAAATACTGTACCTTCAGATTGGAAGGAAATATGACCAGTTCTTACCACTCTCTACTGCTACATTAGCCCAAGCTGCTCCTTTCTAAATAGCTGCAATACTTCCCTAACCAGCTTCCCTGCCTCTCCCCAGGCCTCCCTGTAGTCTCTTCTCAGTCTAGCAGCCAGAGGGATCTGACAACTCCTCTGTTCAAGATTCCAGTCACAGAGTAAAGGCAAAAATTTCTGCAACTGCATACAAGGAAGAACAAAAACTAGCTCTCCATTACCTTTTTGTAAAATTGAAATACAGCTAATATACAGTATTATTGGTTTCAGGTATACAACAATTTGACAATGATACACATTACTAAATACTCACACTGTAAGTGTCACTGTCATCTGTTAACACACAAAGGTAGTAGAGTACAATATTATTGACTATATTATTCCCTATCCTGTTTTCTCAGCCCTGTGACTAACTTATTTTATAATTGCAAGTCTGTACCTCTTCATCCCCTTCACCTATTCTACCCATCCCCCGTTCGGGCAACCAGCAGTCTGTTCTCCATGTTTGCAAGCATATTTGTTTTGTTCTGTTTTTTAGAATCCATATGCAAGCAAAATTATATGACATTTGTCTTTCTTTGATTAATTTCCACTTAGCACAATATCTGCTGGGTCTATCCATGTTGCTGCAAGTGGCAAGATCTTATTCTTTTTTATGGCTGAGTATATATATATATATATATACACACACACACACTACATCTTTATCCACTCATCTATCAATGGACACTTACGTTGCTTCCAAATCTTAGCTATTGGAAATAATGCCGCAATAAACGTAGGTGTGCATATATCTTTTCAAATCAGTGATTTTGTTTTCTTCGGGTAAATTCCCAGAAGTGGAATTGCTGGGTCATATGGTATTTCTATTTTTGCTTTTTTGAGAAATCTCCATACTGCTTTCCACAGTGGCTATACCAATGTACACTCCTGCCAGCAGTGTAGGAGGGCTCCTTCTTCTCCACATCCCCATCAACACTTGTTATTTCTTGTCTTTTGGATAGTGGCCATTGTGACTGGTGTGAGATGCTATCTCACTATGGCTTTGATTGGTATTTCCCTTATGATGAGTAATGTTGGGCATCTTTTCATGAGTCTGTTGGCCATCCATATGTCTTCTTTGGAAAACAGTCTATTCAGGTCTTCTCCCCATTTTTTACTAGCATTACTGTTTTTTTGGTGTCGAGTTGTATGAGTTATTTATATATTCTGGATACTAACCCCTTGTGTAGTTGTTGGCTATATCGTTTGCAAACATATTCTTCCATTTGGTAGGCTGCCTTGTTTTCTTTTTTAGGAGAGCAAGGGCAGAGGCTTTTATTTAGAAATAAAGTAAGAGGAAAGAGCTCCTGGCGAGGGGACAAGAGAGCCCCGTAGGCTGCCTTTTTATTCTGTTAGGTTCCTTTGGTGTCCAGAAGCTTTTTTAGTTACATGTAGTCCCACTTGTTTATTTTTGCTTTTGTTTCCCTTGCTTGGGGAAATTATGTCCAGAAAAAAATTACTAAGCTGACTTCAAGAATTTTTTGCCTGTTTTCTTCCAGGAGTTTTATGGTTTCAGATCTTATATTTAGGTCCTTAATGCATTTCAAGTTTTATTTTTGTGCATGTTGCTCTTTTGCAGGTAGCTGTCCACTTTTTCAACACTTTTACTGAAGAGACTGCATTCTCCCCATTGTTATTCTTGCCTCTTTTGTCATATACTGACTGTCAATACAAGTATGGATTTATTTCTGTGTTCTCAATTTTGTTTCATTGATCCATTTGTCTATTTTTGTGCCAGTATCATACTGTTTTGCTTACTGTAGCTTTGTAGTATACTTTGAAATTAGGGAGTGTGATACCTTCAGCTTTGTTCTTTCTCAAGACTGCTTTGGTTATTCAGGGACTTTTGTGGTTACAAATTTTAGAATCATTTGTTATAATTCTGTAGAAAAACGTCATTGGTATTTTGATACAGATTGCATTAAATCTGTAGATTGCTTTGGGTAGTGTGGCTATTTTAACAATATTAATTCTTCCTATTTATGAGCACAGAATATCTTTCCATTTATTGGTGTGTCTTTGATTTTTTTCATCAATATCTTACAGCTTTCAGTGTACAGGTCTTTCACCTCCTTGGTTAGGTTTACGCTTAGGTTAAAATCCCTAAATTGGACATTTTTCTTTATTTCTCTTTCTGCTAGTTTGTTATTGGTATAGTAAGGTAATGGATTTCTGTATACTGATTTTTGCATCCTGCAACTTTACTGAATTCATTTATTGTAATGTTTTTTGGTAGAGTCTTTAGGGTTTTCTATATACAGTATCATGTCGTCTCTAAATGGAGACAATTTTATTTCTTCTACACCAATTTGGATGTATTTCATCTGTTTTTCTTGTCAGAATGCTGTGGCTATGACTTCCAGTACTATGTTGAATAAAAGTGGTAAGAGTGGGCACCCTTGTCTTGCCCCTGATCGTACAGGAAAAGCTTTCAGCTTTTCACCATTGCATATATTATCTGTGGGTTTATCATATATGACATTTATTATGTTGAGGAATGTCCCTCTTTACACACTTTGCTGATCCTTCTTTAATGGATGTTGAATTTTGTCAAATGCTTTTTTTGAATCTATTGACATGACCTTCTTTTTGTTAATGTGCTGTATCACACTGATTCAACCATCCTGGCATCCCTAGAATAAAGCCCACCTGGTCATAATGAGTCATCCTTTTAATGTATTTCTGAATTCAGTGTAGCAATATTTTGTTGCGGATTTTTATATCTCTATTCATTAGGGATAATGGTCTGTAATTTTCTTTTTTCTTTGTAGGCACTTTGCCTGGTTTTGGTATCAGGGTGATGCTGGCCTCATGGAATGAATCTGGCAGCTTTCCTTCCTCTTCAAATTTTTGTCTCCATTACCTCTTGATCACATATATGACTGCTCTCTGTCCCTTCCTGACACCACATGAGCTTTTATGGCTTCCCTGTAGCTCCTCAAACGCAGCAGACAAGGTGTTGCCTTGGGACTTATGTGTGGAAGTGGTGCCCCATCATCTTCAGGTCTTTGACCCAGGCCTTCCTGAGAACTTAGAAGTACAGCCTACCTCTGGCCTTCCTTATCCCTATCCTCTTCTCTATGTTTAATTTTCTCCAAAACACTTTTCACCATATATTAGACATTTCACTTGCTTATTGAGTTACTGTTCTCCCTCCCCCACTAGACTATAAGCTCCATGCGAACATGTAGCTTATAGATGAGAAAAGGAATTGTGGTCCTTTTTTCCAACTGATATATCCCTAGTGACAATAAAAGTGGGTATCCAATGACCTTTTTATTTTTTAATGCAGAAAGTTTTCCTCTTCTAATTTATCAAGTCTTTATTTCAAAACAAATTCAAAACGCACACATATTTTTCTTTATATTTATATACCATTTGTTTTCAGCACCTAGGACAGCACCAGCTAAACTTGTGTGATACCATTTTTGTCCACTGCCTGGGAGTTGCAATGATGAATGGAAAAAAGATAAGTCATATCGGCTAGTAAGGACTGCTTTGCTTAAACTGATTGAATATCAATATTTATTTTCCCAGACATTACAGTACTTGGAAAACTGCAGCCCTGTTACAATTCTTCAATCTATCACTGTAAAGTTTTAATTATGGAAAAAATGCTACCACATTTCAAAATCTTTTAAAATTTGTATCATTCAGTCTTTTATGTGGCACTTTTGGCTCAGCTTGCTTTATTTACACCAGGGTAAAATAAACTTTGGTTTAGATTCTAAGTTTTTAAGAGCATTACACACAGATACACTATATACCTTCATATAAATTGCACTTAAATACATGCAGTCACCGTATTGATTCATGTCTGTTCTAGTACTTAATACATTTTTGGCAAAATATCCCGTTGAGAAAGAAAATGACCTCTTCTTAGAAGACTGCATACATATGCACATATATTCAAATTCTTGCCTACAATGTCATGTGATTCAGTGTCCCTTAAGCTTAACTAAGAATACAACCTTGGGCTAGTGCTCAAATTAATTAAAAATTAGAACCTAGAATAGAACCTGGTAGAAGTCACAACAGTAACATTCTATGTATTTGATGTCATTCTGATCTCATCTGCTTGGTGTTGAAGTAGAATTCATGCTATATTCTTTTGGTCTTTATACAAGTAACTTCATCTTATATCTAAATATGTGCACATACAATTTGAAAATAACCTACCTGAACTAGAAGAAATCAAATGCTACTTTACTTTCCAGTACTGCATGCATAACAAAAGTTTATGTACGTTCAATATTGTTATGATCGAAATTATCCTCTAGTTTGGGCATCATCGCTTAGTTTTACCTTTACAAAGAGGAAAATAATAAACAAGCCAAAAGCTCCTAATTTTAAAATGTATAATTCTTTTCATCTTTCTGGTTGTCAAAATATTTATTACGCTGTAATAAGAGTTTGTTACCGAGCACTCTGAAGAAAAAATTGACAGAGTCTGCAAAATGAGAAACTAATTAACAAATGAACAATGCTGACCTGCAGCTGCATCTGCCAGTTGTGGGAGGGGCACTTTCTGGGACATTCTGTGACTCTTCAGAAACGAAAAGAAATGTCTCCATAGCGCACTAGCAACTGCGGCAAGGTGGCGCTCTTTAGCTGATAATGAAGACTGCACAAGTAGGTCCATGTTCTCCTTTTGAAGTTCCCAGCACAACTGTCGATGCATACTCCTAAAAAAAAATTATAAAAATATACCTAACACCCAACAAATGCCTATGAAAATCTTGCTTAAATACATTTTGAGCTTTTAACATCTATCCCATATGAAAACTGAAGGACTGTTTTTGTATAATTAATACCTTTATGCCAAGACATTATGCATTTCTGGTTATTTGATGGATGAATGATGGCATATTAAGCACCATAAAGTTAATGTTAATTACTAATGTCAACCACTAATTATATGCCTTTTAATATGTCAGATCCAAATGAAAAACAGGCAGCTTCAGAATGAAGGTCTGCATTTTGTAACTCACTATGACAAGTGGTTTTACTTACAGTCTAGACATGAAAACAACTTTTTAAACCATTTTCTCTTGAGAGCTTTAGGATATAGACACATGAAGAAGGAAATAAGTACGTCTGGCTTATGTGTGGTGTTTTAAACTAAAATATTTTCCTTGTTTAGAAAACATGGGCCTTGTGCTAGTATACAAAACTGTGCTGGATACAAACTTAGTCCCTTGGTTCAAAAAACCCACAATCATTTTCACACGACAGACAATAATAAACAATAAAAAGTGATCCTTCTCCATAAAACAGTAAAGCATGATTTCAATACTGCCTCAAATTTTGATTCATCGCTTACTTACCTTTCTTTCTTCAAATGAAAACTTAGAAATCCCTAAACTTTAATAGAAATATAAGAGGTAGAAACACTAAGATTTTCCTAATGATCTGGAATAGAAGGCATTTATGTAATATGCCCAGTAATTAATAGTATGATTATTTAAACCAAATATGCAATCATGCTATTATTCCTGTCTCAATTACTGCCAATGTCAGTTGAGAGTAGACACGAATGCACGAATATCATCCTAAGATTTGCTTTCTTCAGTTAAAGTAGAGAAAAATAATCAATGGAAGTAAAGCAGAAGACTTCCTTCAATAGTACTAATATATTCTACTACAAAATCAGTACTTAAAATAAGAAAGAAATATTACATTAAACATTCCTGATGTTTTAAATTAATCTACCTGGGGAAGTGGACACTTTTGTATACAAAATACAGAACTAACTAGTACATGTTATTCTCAAGCAATTCCACAAAAAGATCAAACCTGTTTTAAGACCCCATTTTAGTACTTCTCACACAACTACACATAAGTAAATAAAAATTGTAAGTAGCTGTAATATAATATTAGGACTCCTGCCCTTTTAAATTGGAATTCTTGGATAACCATCAGGCACCACTCAGTACTATCTGAAGTACCAGAAAAACATGTACATATGTCTGGGGACAGAATATCACAGCAAACAATCCTCATAAAAGCTAACCAAATATATGCTACATCTTCTCTATGTAAAAACCTGCCTGAGATGCCTTCTACTTGAACTAGTGGCTAGAGAACCATTTCAGGTCCTACAGGTTTGAGTAAGCACTGAATTCATTTGGCAACTAACTTAAGTGCTTACATTAACATATATTACACACCAGTATATGGAGTTCAAGTAAAATAATACTACCATTTACCAACCCATTCATAGCTTTTTCAAAGTATATTAACTTCAAAAAAATAACTTACTATACTTCAGTAGGATGGGTTTTACTCAGTATTTCTAAGTAAATATGCCATTTTCTTCACTAACTAAAATCTATTCCCTAGGAAGAGGTATAATTTCTGATTATCCTCTATATGCTAGAAATTATTTTAATTAAAAAATAAGTTTTATGAAATTGCTATCATTAAACCTCTTTATTATAGATGATGAAGCTAGTGGCAAGGAAGTTAAATATGCCCAAAGGTCACATGGCTCAGAGGGACTGGCCCCCATATTCTGAACCTAAATCTAACTCAGAAGCCCATCTTTTCCCTTATATGCTAAAGCACACATCGTTATGCACTAAGACACACACACACAATTTAAACACTGATAAATTTGCCTCTCTCCCTATTTGGGTAGAAGAAATTTCAGCAAGCCTAAGAGAAGGAGCAGGAAAAACCACATGCAGCTGTGCCTTGTGAAGAGGTGGGACAACACCACAATTCTGTGCTAGGAAAAACTATAAGAAGAGGAACCGAGAAAAATGCACTCAAGACAATACCGGAAAACAAAAAAGCCAATAAATCAGAACCACTTTTGACCTCTCCAGAACAAGATGTTGGGGCTCCAGGAAGGTATAACTACAAGTACTGCAGGGGTCTGATTCAGAGCTCTGGAATCCACAAACCACTAGGTAAAAAGTTAAAGCTACAGATTACATCCTCCAAGGAAGGAGAACGCCAGCAAAAACAAGCTCCAAGTAAGTGTAAGACAGTGACCCCAAAACAGATTTGTTTTGGAAATGTGCATCCACTTAGGGTTTTGGTTTGGAAAGAAGCTGTATATCTTAGGAATATGCAAAATACTTTCTGCTCGATGGTTTTCATATTTAAGCAACATCAAGTCTGGATAAGAAATGTGAGTATCTGCTGTTTTAACACACAACACAACAC